CTGTAGGGAGTGGAATCGATCTGCCCGAGGAGCTAAGTGTGAGGAGGGAGAGGCAAGCTGTAGGAATGAACGTGAAACTTTTGAGCAGAATTCTCCAGCCGTCCTTGGATCTTTTTGTGTGATTTTTTGAAGCAAGGAGCTTCCTCAAGCCAGGAATTTGGGTCTTTGACTTGTCAGGTGCTTTCCTTCTTCTCATCCCCGCCAGGTCCCTCTTGAGATCTCAAGGTTTTGGAAGGGTACATGCTGGCTTGTGAGCTTTGAGTTGGTCTTAACACAGGTGCGCCTCATAATGCACACCTTTTCTCTCATCGGAGGCCCTAAAGTTCTGCGTCGTCCTTGTTACTTTTTATATTCCAGGGGAAAACCTGCTGAGTCCTTAACCTCCTGGGATAGCAGCTACTTTTGTTTTACTGTGAAATAGTAAATACCAACAAATGCACCGCATTTACCAACAAAGAACTAACGGTTTTGTTGCTAAATTGCTTTTAAATTTCTTCAGCGGTTTTCCAATTGTGCATCACAGACCAATTGTATGACTGCTTTATTGCTTTGGGCACTGTTATTCATCATCCAGAGTGCTTTAGCTTGTGGGTGGTACAAAAATAAACAAAAGCAGTTAAAATAAAGCTTGGAAGGACCAGTTCCAATTTCCTGGTAAAGCCCTTGAAGCTGGATGTGCCCATTTTGGCCTGTGCACAACCCATCATGAAAACGGCTTGAGTGTGCTGGAAGATTTGAGATTCTTCTGACCTACAAAGCCCTAAACGGCTTGGGTCCTGGCTACCTGAAGGAGCGCTTACATCCACATATGCCCAGCCGCCCCTTGAGATCTGCGGGAGAGGCCCTCCTCCGGGAACCCTCTGTGAAAGAAATTAGGAGGGTAGGTACTCGGAGGAGGGCTTTCTCTGCGGTGGCGCCCAATCTATGGAACGCGCTCCCCAGAGAGGTCCGCCTGGCGCCATCGTTATTTGTTCTTCGGCACCAGGCGAAGACCTTTTCATTTAAGCGTCATTTTAATTGTTAACAATATTTGCTTATTTATCTGGCCAGGGCAACTTCTTTTATATTGTTATTTATTTTATATTGTTAATTTTATATTGTTATTTTTGTATTTTATTGTATTTTATTGTGTTGGAAGGCGCCCCGAGGCTTCGGCAAGGGGCGGCATAGAAATGTTTTAAATAAATAAATAAATAAATAAATAAAACTCGGAGAAGGTGCAAAGCAGATGCAGCTCAAGTTCTCTGCGTGTGGGTGCAGAAGCAAAGGAAGTCCCATGATCCCCAGTTGCCTGGATTGGGCCACCAGCTAAGTTTCTCAGTGCCAGATAAGCATCCTCTCTTGCAGACTTTTAACTTAAAGTCCTCATTGTAGGAAAGTGATGCAAAGTCGATACGAAATAGGTACAAGGTACTAAAAAGGTAGCAAGTGGACTGAACAACTCCACTATTCTGACTATGAAAGTTTTATAAAAGCAGAATATAAAAAAAATCAAGCTTTGGGCACTTTGTGGAAGCCACATTTGGGAATTTGAGCCGTTAACCGCTCAATTTATCAACTCATTTACTGGCATGCCTGTTCAGGGGCAAGCCCGGTTGAGGCCAGCAAATTTAATACAAGTGCAACAGAAGAAAAGAGAAGAAAGTGAGTTTGAGAGAAAGGCGAGCTTGTCGGTCTATGCACACTTGTGCAATCGGGGAAGTTAAGGACAAGATGGGACAGATCTGCACCCACATGTAAGGCTGAAAGCACTGGAGGAGAAAGATGTTTTGGGAAGAAACATAGAAACAGAGTGAGTCAGACGGGGGCTCCCGGGCCATCTAGTCTGACCCCCGGCTCCAGCCGGCTCCACTCACGACATGCCCACCGTGTGCATGTCCAGCCTATCTTTGAACACCCTTTGAATACCTTTGAAGACCTCTTGCTATGCTGAGTTGGCAGGTTTGTGATTGGCGGGTGGGGACAAAGCATCCCAAGAGAGGATACTGGGATTGACGGTGTTACAGGAGGAAAGGACTGAAAGGTCTGGAATTTCAGTGCATTGTAACAATGGGAGCCATTAGGCTTATCCAGACAGGTAGAAGGACCACCTACAAAAGGACATCAAGTCATGCCTTTACTCACTGGAGACACAAGGGTGTGAGTGTGCGTACCTGCAAAAGAGAGCAGGGGAAAGCTCATGGGGGAGCCCATGCAAATAAATGCAAACCCCAAGCATATGAGGACGCAGTGGCCTTGTGGGCCCCTTCCAGTTCTACTCTTCTGTGATTCTGCCGTTGCCATCTGCACATTCAGCAAAATTTGGGGAATCAGAATTCCATGGATGAAGGCAGGGCCTGCAAGCAAACCCTCTGGTTTTGCAAAGGAGGGTGAACGCTTCCTACCACAAGGACAGTCATGCACGCATCACATTCCTCTTCTGCGAGCTGGTGCCCACCACTGGGTTGCACTAGGATTCCCCTCATCCCTGGCTCAGTCAACGCTGTATTTTATAATGCACGAAGTCTTCGAGTCTGTGCATTGCCGTGTATACATGGATTCACTCCTGGAAGATGTGCTTAGATGTCCAGACTAATTAAATGGCCTCAGGGCAAAATGACCAGACAAAAGACTTACACAAATAAGGCCGGCTGGAGCAGGTCCTTCCTACACACACTAATAGGAAATTCTGTCTCCAAAGGAGTGAACGCGAAACAGCGCCGGCCATCCGCAAGAGGCTGCCAGCAGGTGGGCTGAAGAGGAGGTGCCGTTCCGTAACTGAAGTACAAGAAGATGTGCAGGAAGGTCCCAAATGCTGGCAGAAGGATCCCAAAAGCCGTGCAATGAAAGCCAGGTGTGCTTGGACCCTAAAGGGCTGGCTGGTGGCCAGAGACGTTGGGGCAGGGGCAATGGGAAGCTAGGGAGGAGGAACGGAATGGTATTTGCCATGCAAGGGTGTGGCTGGCTCTAACAGGAGATGCCACACGGACTCTTCGTCGCAGGGACCACTCCTTAATGGATATTGCAGAACATTCGCCCCTTAGCAACTCGCCCTGTGAAAAGCAGGTGGCCATGCCTGACCCCCCAAATACCCAGGATGCTCTGGTATGAGCGTCTCCCTGGGGAAGCTGGGAAGGATGCCATTGCCCTTGGCAGCAGCCATCTTTTAGCACCAATGCTGAATTCTCTTCTTACGGCCCAGAGGAGGCACGGCATCTGGGACAGCGTGGCTGCTTCTGCCCACGTCAAAAAGCCCCCGCCATGAGAGATGCAGATGAAGCGTTGCCGTGGTTCCCTGCCTCAAGGGGACTGGCAGCTTGAGCCGCCCAGCTGCTTGCTAAGGCGGCTCATTTGCACCAACAGAGGCTTGGCTTTTTCCTAGCTAGAAACTTTCAACAGCTATTGTGAATGTTCTCGGAAGGGTACGGACTCTCTCCTCACACACAATGGATGAACAGCTATGTCTTTAAAGCTCCCACACGGGGAGGGTCCACTCTGCCTGTATCATTAAAGAATAATTAAGCAGTGCATTTAAAAAGAGGGGAACTAATGGCCTGTGTGTGGGCAAGCCTCCTACATGCCTACATAATATCCAATATCCCCCACGTACACCCCGCGAGGAACACATAAAAGCAGGATGTGAAAGGGTATTGCATCAAGAGAAGAGAACAGCCATTTCTTCCCAAACACTGCCAAAATCAACCTTAATTAAAAGCTGGGCTTTGCACGTGTTGTCCCCTGCCAGCTCAGATCACATGCAAAATAAACCGGAGCGTTGCAAGCGGAAAACTAGCGGGTCAGCTGCATCTGGATCCCGCCACTGGGCCGGCGTGCCTGCCTTCACATTGTCTTCCAAGGCTGAATGTGTGCTTGCTGCTGAAGGTTCACACGTCACAACGAGCAGCCCTGCACGGTTTCCTCAGTCCATGTTTTCTCCCCGGACGTGCCTGGCAGAGGATTAGGCGTTTTCCACGCAAGCGGGGCTTCCACCCTTGTATCCCATCAGCCACGTGCCTGAAATTCACCGAGCCAACTCCTGCGGCCACGCTTTCCAAGGGACTTTGTGGTAGGACCGTGCAAACCACATTGCCGGGTTCGGATGACGGGAGAAACCAGGGTGAAGTGGGGAGACCGAAGAACAGACTGGAGGTTTCTCACTGAGGTTTCCAAAAGTCGAATGTAGCACAAGGGGCTTTCGGGTGGCACAACAAGCCCCCCCCCCCCACAAGAAATCGCTTGGGCTTGTGTCATGCCAAATGTCCCATCTTGCACATTTGGGCCATTCCACAAGTACAACTTAAATTGGGGGAACCCCTCCCCTGGACTGGCGCTCTCCAGACATGCCGGACTAACAGCTTCCGGAATTCTGCAGACACTGCAGTCCACTGGAGATCCTTGGGAGTTGTTTGGAGGATGTGCACTTGCGGAAGGCGGTGCTTGAGATGCCGGCAGTCCTCGGCCCTCCTGGGGGTGTGTCATTGAATTCAATGTGTCTCACTCCCATGTAGGCTTCCACACTATACATTGCATAGGACCACAATGTCAGGCCTATGTCAGAAGACGAACAAGCCGTCACAGCCCAAGCAGAGCCTGGAATGTAAGATGTAAATTCAGTCTGCAGCGGGTGAGCAGCTTGGAATGTTTTGAGAAATCATTAACCACAGAACTATAAACAAAGTATATGCATGATCTGGGATCTGGCTCATTTGTAGCTTATGAGGATTAATTAATGGCAGAATAATGCATTTTTTAAAAATATCCTTGGGCACTTTTCTAATGAGCTGGGCTTGTTATGTAATATGCATTTATCTTATTCCCCCTGCACTTCTCTCTCAGAGACAGGTGGGTGCAGAGAATAACCTGAGTCTTTGCTAACACAGGCCTGGCCATGCCCTCTTTTTATCAAACATTTTTCTTCATCCAGTTATACTGGTACCAGAGTACCAATACAACAAGTGCTGTCGGAACAATGACATACATACATACATACATACAATAGTAAAGAAACTTGGAGTCATCCATCATGAAAACATTATATTATTTAATTGACGGGAGCGCATCCTGAACCCCGCTGTTTTGCGAAGCTACTGGTAATCATAAAAGTTTTCAGGAGCAGCTTACGCATTAGGTGATCAGCATTAAACAAAATAAGTTGCTTCAGTATAAAACCGGAACTTGCAATCCAGCTCCCAAGTCTGTTAACCAGTAAAGGCCAACTCCGTCTAGCTCCAAAGTCACTTTTCCTGGAAAAAAGCAGCTGGGGTAGGAGTCCAGCCTGTCGCGGTGTATTCCTGCAACTCTGTGAGCTGAGTCAAAAGATGGAGAACGGCTCTGGATAAATTAGTAAAACTGATCGGTGCAAAACGCTGTCTCTGTCCACATGCAAATCCGCACGCCCAGCGCTCAGTCGGTTCCACTTGTCACAGACGGAGCCTTTGCTTTCCCCCCCTTCTTTTGCCGCTTCCTCTTGCCCTGTTGCCCATCGGCTGCTCCGGCACGTCCCGGTGGCCACGTCGGCTTCTTGGCTGGCGGTCCCTCCTTGGAAGCGTGGCTCTTCCCTTGTGCTCCCACTTGGCCCTCCTTCTTCCTCTTCCTCTTGTGCTTCTTCCCCGCCGGGGCAGTTGCAGCCACACTTGCGGGGGCCCCTTGACCGCCGCTCTCGGGGCTGGCTTCCTGGTGCTGGCCGGGCACAAGCTTCTTCCGGTTCTTGCGTTTCTTGGTGGCTGGGAGGAAACCCTTTTTCTTCCGCTTCAGGGGCTCAGCCACCACCTCGTCCTTTGGCTGGGCCACTGCCTTCTGCTTGACAGGCCGCCTGCAAAACAAGAACGGAGATGGGGACCCCACGCTATGTAAAGAAACACGGCACTCAGGAAAGACTCTCAGCCGGGCAGCCGAAATAATAGCCCTGTCCAAGGTCACATGTAAGGCTTACACCAGCGATTGAGAGGTTTTAAAATAGCCTTGCAGACCTGGCAGCAGACAGAAAGCATAGCAGTGTTCTATGCTAGGTACGTGAGGGGGCGTCACACGGAGGTGGGAAGAGACCTGTTCTCCCCTGCAGAGGAAGGCAGGACGCGCTCCAACCAAGCAACGCTCAGGGAACAAAGATTTAGTGTGCATGCCAGGAAGTACTTCCTGATGGTTAGGACCCCGAGGGTGTGGAATGGGCTTCCACGGGAGGTCGCTGAGGCCCCATCGGTGCGGGTGTTCAAGGACAGGCTGGATGTCCACACGGTGGGCATGTCGTGAGCGGAGCCGGGGGTCAGACTGGATGGCCTGGGAGGCCCCTTCTGACTTGCTCTGTTTCCTTTGCTATTGCTAGGAAACCCCTGAAGCAGACCTCTCCACTGGTGGGGGCAGCACAGGGCAAAGAAAATCTCCTGCAGGCGAACTTCCTGCCGATTCTTGCAATGCATTTTGCATGGGGTATGTCTTAGGACAGCCTGCAAACGGAATTGCATGCAGAACGAGCGGCGAAGCTGCTTGCTGGACGGGCCGCTGCCAAGCTGCGCTTGCACCAACTGCCCAGCGGTTTCCAGGCCCAGCTCAGAATGTTGGTGCGAAGTACAAAGGGCGTGATTCTGCACATGTTCAGAGAAGCCCTTTTCTCTGTCTAAACAGGTGAAGACTTGCACTCTGACTGGCCCCTTTTCCTAACGCTGCTGCCCGACTGCTAAGTCCATGTTTGGACAACATTTGCGGGTGTTGCCACCACAAGGTGAGATGGGAGGGGACCCAAAAAAGCATCCGTGCCCTTCCTTAAGGTATCTGCCAGGTCCCTTAAAGTTCTGCAATAAAATACCAGGTTAAGACCTTCCTCTTTAAGCATTTCCTCTTGAAACGGTTTCTTCATTCATTTTTCCACAGACTCGTCAATGTTTTCCATATTTTAAATTTTAAATCACATGTTATTTTGATTCTTTTATTGTTGTGTTACCATCTTTGTTCTTCAAATGGACTTTTATGCTTGCAAACCTCCCCAGAGGTGTTTGGCAGCTGGACAGGTTAGAACGTTAATAAAGGAATGATCAAGAAGGTATTTTATCCTGTTTCACTTGATAACAAGTGTGGGCAATTTAGATAAAATCATTTACTGTGTGACGAGTGTGGACTGGAGCTCTTTTTCTTTCTGGAAAGGATGCGACAGGTTGAAAGCAGGAATAGACCTGGTCTGCAAGACACTGAGCTAGTGTTCGTCCAGACCCTTCTGCCCATGGTTTGTCGCTGGGTTATTTCTCTGGCTTGCTGGGGCAGTGCCCAGGTTTGTGTGCCATGCTAAGCAAATCGCAGGTGGGACCCCCGTAGCTTGTTTAATCATTTCCACTTGTAGCAGGAGCCATCAGGAATTGTTTGTGCGTCTGCTGCTTTTGCATCTGGAAACTCTACTAGACAAAGCACAAGGGAAGGATAATACAGCTTGTTTTGCTGTTAGAAGCAGGATTCCGGTCTAGAGATCCTGATCTTGCAGGGCTTGGCCTATTCCATCAGACCGCTTCTTTCCATTAGCTGCTGAGTTCACACCGAAGTGGAATTTCAGGCTCGCGAGTTCCACAGCCCATTTCTAAGACACTTACGTGAAGCCCAGGAGTTTCATGACATGCCAGTACAGATCGTCCAGCCGCTTGGACTTCCCAAAGGTTTCGTGCTGACCCAAGCCCTGGAGCACGCCACGCACCTGGGCCAGATCCACGCTGAGCTCCTGAAAAGGGAGAGCATAAAACCTGAGCCGTTGGTACCCTGCACCCGAGAAACAATGCTGCGTCCCGAACACTGCATAAACAAGCTGCAAAAACAGTTCGCTTCGGCTCAGTGTCAGCCCCAATTTTTCGTTCAGCTGAGCTGCTGTGCTTGGGGGCAGGGGACTATTCCCCCCTCCCCACCATTCTGGTGTGATCTGGCCCTTTCTTTTCAATGTGCCTGCACCTGGAGAAGCCTGGGGTCCCTTGCACAAGGGAGAAAGTGGCTTTCAGTGGGTCTCCTCTGATGCAACCCTGGCCACCCATAGGAGGGTGCATTAAAAAGATGCCTGTTATGCCGAAAGGAAGCATGAAGGCAAACTTACTACCTCAAGCATTTTTTGAAAACCAGACACGTAATCTGCTTCTGATATATGTGCTTTCCTTGCAGATCCAGAGCAGGATTTAGCATATGCCAAATGCATAATTGTTCTCTTTCGTGCTTTTGCTTTCTTCCCCATTGAGCTTATTGAGAGAGAGAAGGTGAATGAAGGATGTGTTGTCTGATCTCATTCATTCTGTGAATCAATCCACTATCCCTTCTCTCGCTATCGTGGCCAAGAGGCCAGATTTCATGATCCGCGGGGGCGCTACTTCTCTGCTTGAAGCCGAGAAGCAAGCAGCGTGGTCCAAAAGGCTTGCGTTTCACAAGAAACAAAGCCAAAATGGGCCAGAAGCAGGTGACCCTGATCCCAAAAAGGCAGGGTTTGTGCTCTGAAAGGCAGAAGTTCTAGGAAGGAAGGCAGAATTTAGTGAGGTGGACAGACAGTGGCTTTTGGGATTAGCTGTCCAAGTGCTTAAAACAGATCTTGACTCAAGTACAGTACTCTGGCAGATCTGTAAGGTGCAGAGTTTGCTCTGCCAGGACTTCTAGCTTGCAGATCGCTACCAGCATGGGATCTGAAGCTGTCAAAGGCACAGGTCAAGGAATGAACAGAATTAATTATCCAGGTTAATTCACTAGCAACCTAAATTTAAGCCAGGGGTATTTTCATGGGCAGCGGATGCAAGTTGGGGGATGCCAACGTCCGAGATAGAAGCCAAAGAATCAGGCTGCAAGAATCACATGTCTGTACCTGTTTGATTACCATTCTGATCAGGTAGTTCAACAACTCCAGGCCTTTGATCACCTTCTCCTGGTCCACCTTGACTTTGAACTCGCCCACAGCCTTTAAAGTCTGTAAAACAGACAGATCGATTATGCAGAAAATGGTAACGTGGTTTGGAAGGAGGGACTTATGCCTCCCCAAGTCCCTCTTCACAGTCTGTGCAGTTTTCTCGGTGTGAGTACACAAAATGAGAAAATAAGGAACAGGGTCAGGAAACAGGCTGCTCCAGAATGCTACAAGTGCTGCGCAGAAAGGTGCGCAGGTGTCTTTCCCTAGGTTTTCCAAACGCGAAGTCCCTTTTGCTGAAAGAGCAAGTCCTAATTCTAAAGGTGAATTCTATTTCTTCACCTTTTATTATGCTAAAAGGTGGCTCTCCCTGCATGCCAACTTGGTGCTTCGCTGCTCAGCTGCGGCCTTTCCCGCATCAAAATGCAGCCGCAGTTCAGCATTCTGGGCATCTATCCTCGCAGGACATTTTTTTAAAAAAGGACGCTCTGCAGTTGCAGCTCCTCTCTGAGCTGCCCGTACCATCTCCGGCTAGTCTAACACACCATTTTAAATAGCAGGATTGTTCTCTGGGGAATCAGCTCTGCTAGGATTCCTTGACATTGCACTGAAAAGCCAGCTCTTTGTTTCCAGGTTCTGCTGCAGGCGGGCAGAAACGCTTTCTGCCGGCACGACACCAGCTTCTGGATGTGCTCAAGTAACGGCACAGCTTCCTCCGGGAGAGCCCCATGCTTTGCTTGGACCCTACAGATTTCAGAATGAAGATCTTAGACTCTGCACCACTGTCCATGTATTTAGTTCCATTTTCAGCCCAGAACCCAAAGCAGCGTTCTGGTTCCGTTCAGCAGCAGTTATGGGAGCTGCCACTTCCTCTTCTAGAACCAAAACATTAACCTTTGAAAGTGGAAGAGCCCCGATTTTATGTGACATTTTTAATTTCAATTTCACTTCTGCCATGCAAGAGCGGCCTTTGTTCTGTCTCCGCTTACAGAGGATTTCACCCTAATCGATTTGAATGGATAAATTCTGCTCAAATGTTTGCTTGGAACTCATTGTAGCTTTCCAAAACTTGCTTCAATAAATTTCTTTGATGCAAGCTGCACCCCCCACCCCGCTCCCAATCTGTGATGATCCCCACTTTCACAAAACAGAGTCAATACACTACCTGTCAAATATTAGATTATTACACAGGTTAGTACAAGGTCTTTGTGAGCATGAATATTCCTTTATGTCGTGTCATCAATGTGCACAGTGCTTTTCTGCGGACAGAGGGCAGGCTCCTGCCCGAGAAATTGACCATCTAAAATGCAGTGCAAGGAATTTAGCAGAGCAACACAGCTTAGTGGATTAAGAAACTGGACTTTAAACAAGCAGGTGAATCTAGGTGTTCTGAACCTTCGGGGGCGACCTTCCTGAACAGAGAGAGTTTGGACCCCAACTTCCATCAGCCCCAGCCAGCATGGCTAATGGTCAGTCCAAAATGGCAGTCCCACACTTGTGAATTCTTACGAGTTGCGCCAACTGATCTTAAGAGATGGCAGCATTATCACCAAAAGTTCACGACATTTCTACACCATCCTTCCTGCGTTGCAAGCAACACATGGCCTCTCTCTCCTAGACCCACCTAACACATCCTGGTCTTTGGAGTCGCTTTAACTTCACTGATCTGAGAAAGAAGCCAAGCCAGCCTCGCCTGCCTTCCCGGGATCCCCTGCAGAGATGTGTGACAGAGACCCACAACCATCATAGTGACTGTGCCCGAATCACCACCAAAACACCCTTGCAAGCCACACAACGTGCCTTTGACAAGCGACACAAGATCTGTCAGCAAACGGCAAATTTGGGTCTCCTCCGCTCTGCTGGGACCCCCTCGGAAACCCACAAATCTAGGCCTATTCTCAGCCGAGCGATTTTTATACGGAAGCACCTGGTCGCCATCTCAGTGCCAGAAGGAGATGAGATGGCAAAAGGTTTAAGCCAAGCCCATAGAATCTTTCCACCATCAGGACTCCAGAGGTGCTCTGGAAAAGCCTGCTTAAAACTGGGGGGAAGGCGGAAAGGGGAGCTTGGCAACACACAACCCCCAGGCCTGCGTTTATTTTTCCAGGGACTACTCTGCCCCCCTCCCAGCCTCCAGCTTAAGGTGGCATCGTCTCCAGCCTCACACACGTCTGCATCTATCAGGCGCTGTTCTGCCCACTCGATTTGGCCTCTCCGGGCTGTCCAAACCGCATCCCCCATGATCTGCGTTTGTTTTTAAGGACTGTGATGGATTTAAGCAGACACGCCTCGTGGCATGCCGCTGATCTGCAAGGACAAGGCAGCGAGAGTGCGACAAGAAGGACGACAACAAAACAAGCTCTGTACATGCCTAATCACTGGCCTGCGAGGCAAGAGCGAAGGGCAGGAGAAGGCCGAGCGTCTGTCTCCACAGCAGGGCTGGCAGAACGCGACCGCAAGAGAAGCGCTGTGTGGGATCGCCCGGGACTGGCATTTTGGTCACGATGCTGATCTGCAGCCTCCATCGCCACCAGCCGGCAGAGCTGCTGCTGCACGAGGGGACTGCAGCAGAACAACTTCGGGACCCCAGGGCTGGGAGAGCTTTGCCGGGGCTCTTCTCGGAGGGCATGCTTAGCCACTGCCCCCATGTGCTGCTTCTAGGTCACCCAGAGGCATCTGTGTTAGGTCTTTGTTGTTGTTGTTTAGTCGCGAAGTCGTGTCCGACCCTTCACAACCCCACGGACAACATTCCTCCAGGCCTTCCTGTCCTCCACCTTCCCCCGGAGTCCACTTAAGCTCACACCCACTGCCCCAGTGACCCCATCCAGCCACCTCATCCTCTGCCGTCCCCTTCTCCTTTTGCCCTCAATGGTTCCCAGCATCAGGCTCTTCTCCAGGGAGTCCTTCCTTCTCATTAGGTGGCCAAAGCATTCGAGCTTCACCTTCAGCACCTGGCCTTCCAAAGAGCAGCCAGGGCTGATCTCCTCAGGACTGACCGGTTTGATCGCCTTGCGGCGCTAGGGCTTTAGGGGCTCCCAACAGAACGTTGCTTCTTTATTTATGGCATTTATGTAGGGCACCTAAGGGCACTGCATTTGGGGGAAATGGCCCTTTGTTCCGGGCCAGCCAGTGATGTGTGGGGAATCCAGTTTGGAGGTGGGAATCCGTCGGATGTCCTCGGCTTGGCTCCCAGGCTCTGGGCCATGTTTCCTCTGCCTTAAATCTGCCGCGCTCCATGTGTTTGTGTGGGTGTCTGGCAGAAAGTGAGTCCACAAGGACAGCCTGCACACACATGCCCCACACAATCAACAGTGCAAGCAGAGTTCAGCTTCTGTGCATGAGACTTGTAAGCTTCGTGTGCTTTGCACAAATGGGCCACTGGGGTTCATGGACCTGATCTGCAGTTTGTGCACAGAGCTGAGCATGAGAAAGCAATCCAGCAAGTGAAAGAGAGCCGGATTCCCACCTAATCTTGGGCTGAAACATGCATTCTAGTTTACCTGTCCTAGGCAGGAACTTGTAAACTTCCCAGAGAATGTTTCTTATTGGGCAATATATTTGCACAGAAAAGGAAGTTTAAAAACGATTCTGTCTAAATGCTTCAGAGATGCTGTGCATGGGCCTCATGCTCTGGTTAACTGCAGCACACACTTTGTCTGCAGGGATCTGTTGTTTGTAGCACAATGGGGAAGTTAGGGCATACATGCAAACACTTCCCCCCCACCATGAGGACTAGAAACTTAATGCCTCTTTAAAAACCAAACCAAACCAAACCAAAGTTCTTGGGGCTGAGCTCTGGGGCTGCACCTGGGGGCCCGAACCAGACTGCGCATGTCAGTGTTTGCAGGATTGGCCCCAGGCCCTGGAGGACTGCTCAGCCTCCTATCTCAGGGCCGGCTCTTCCCTCCCAGCCCTTGCCGCAGCATCATGGGACTTCCTGTTGCCTGCATCTTGCCTGGCCTGGTCTGCACCCCTGGGCAGCACCCTGCCCCACCGTCTTCCTGGTTCCGGACTCTTGGCTTGTCTGGATACGCACCCCTGCTTCCTGACCTTGGGCTGTCCTCTGACTCCAGCTTAGACTTGCTCTTAAACCCGGCTAATGGGCTTTGGTCTCCCTTCCCTCAGGTCCTGCGGCCCTGCTCCCGCTTCCTTGTCTCCTGCCTCCCACGTCTCGGCCCCGACAGATCTGCCATGAAGATGCCGGTCAAGCTGCTTCCGGGATCCACTCCGGGCTGCCCAGAGTTCCCCGGGGCTTAAGCACAGCTGACCTGCAAGGACCATCTCGGAAAACTCCGATTCAAATAAGGTCAGGCAATCCTTACGTAAGTGCACAGTGCTGCGGAGCCCTCGAGCGAGCCAAGCCGGCGTTCTATTTTGGGTAAGCATCACACACATTCCCTTAATAGTGCCTCTGCTCCCGTCCCTCTGGTTTGTGCGTTTAAATGGATCAGCACAGCCCCCTGACACACCTCATTCCAACGGCCCATGCGGCATGCCCTCGGGCAGGTAGGCAAGGATGAATATCCAGTTGCCTCGTTAACAAAATAACAGGGCCATGACGGAATGCTGAAGCCCTGGGCAGCTGGACCCCAGGAAAGACACCGTTTTGTGGAAGACACCGTGAAAGAAAAATCTCTCTGTTTCCAGAGAGAAGTATTCCATAGCAGGGATGACATGCAAGGAGAACATTTTCCCTTTCTTGTTGGAAGGATGCTCCCCCTCCAATGCTGCAAGGACCTGTGCATGCAGAGCTGGGCTCTCCCTGCATGTCCAGGCAGTGAACAAATAATTCTGATTAAAAAACCCAGAAGTGGGCCATAATTCAGTGGAAGTTGGTTGTAATTAACCCAGTCGTTCTGGAAATGTACAACACACCAGATCAGTGTGTAATTTTAGCAGAGCGGGGTGTGAGAGTGAGTCTAGGGTTTCGTGTCTGCCTTTCCTGAGCCTATTGTTTTAAATATAGTGGTACTTTGGCTCACGAACTTAATCGGTTCCAGGACTCTGGCTGTGACCCAATTGGTCGTGAGCCAAGCCAAATTTCCCCATAAGGTTCAGTGTAAATAAGGTTAATCTGTTCTGTAACCATTTTTTAAATCAGAAAAATGTGAGGCAAAGTGACAACAACAAAAATCGCAGCCATCTCGCCCCCCCCCCCCCCACAAGCGCGGCCCCCTCCCCCCCCCCCCCCCACCAAGCACGACCAAGATCGCGCCCATCATCCCTGCAGGCGCCTGTCATCCCGGTGCGCGGGGAGGGGGGAGCCAGGCGGGATCGCGGGCGCCTTGGGGGAGGGAGACAGGCGCAAACAGCGCACTGGGGGAGGGAGAGACGGGCGCGATCTCTGCCATCTCCCCCCTGCCCCCAGCACCATCGCGGCCATCTCCCCACTCAGGGGTGGGGTGGGGAGATGGCCGCAATCGCAGTTGCTTTCGTGCAGGGACAGCGTCCGTGATCAGAGGCGGCTCCTGCAGGAAAGACAGTCGGAATCTCGGCCGTCTCCCCCGCGCTCTGCTCTGCTGCTCCCGTCTTTCCTGCAGCAGCGGGCCTCTGATCACGGATGCCTTCCCTGCACGAAAGCAACTGCGACCGTGGCCATCTCCCCACTCAGGGGGCAGGGGGCAGATGGCTGCGATCTTGGTCAGCACCCAAAGCGGTGTTCGCGACCCACATCAAAGTCTTTCAGAAGTGTTTGTTCGTGACCCGATCTGTTCGTGAACCAAGGCGTTCGTGAGCCGAGGTACCACTGTTCTGTTCTGTTCTGAACGGCTGGGCTGTTTTTACCACATTCCTATTTTGGGCTGTGTTTCATCCTTCCCTGTGCGCTGTTGTTAACTGCCTGGAGAGCTTTTGCTCTTGGGCAATAGAGAAATGGAAGGAAATAAATAAAGGCGCCCCGTGCCTGGCTGGCAAGGGAGGCCTTCCCCCACTCCAGGCCAGACAAAGCACCCCAGGAGCGCCCGAGAACATCAGTCTGGATTCTTGTTTTGCAACGGCTTGGAACGGCTCACCTCAGCCACCTGATGGATGCTCTCTCTAGTCAGCTCCTCCCGTTCCTTGTCGGACAACAAGAGCATGAAATCCCGAGACTGCAGAGCCTTTTGCAACAGGAGACACGCCTGCGTCTGAAATGGGAAGAGGGTGGGGAAGATGGGGCCGCGGGTGAGTGGAGAACAGGTGTGAGAAAAGGACAATTGTCTGGAATTTCAGAAGCTTCACCAGCAGAATCTTCGGGGTGGGGGGTGTGATCCCAGGTTATGGTCTGGAGGCGGCTGAAGCAGCCCGCATGCTGAAGCTAAGCAGATCTGGTTCTGGTCACGGCCTGGAGGGGAGGCCACCTGGGAATGACATCTGTTCCACAGCGGGGAAAAAGTGGGATAGAAATGTAATCCTTGAACCCATCAAGGACACGGGCCCTTGACTGGTCCTGCTCGGATGCAGTGCGCCCTGGGTATTCTGGAGTTTTTCACCAGCACAGGCTGGCCTACATCACAGGGTTGTTGTGGTGGTAATGGTGAAGGCATGGGGGACACTCAAGCCAACAGCAAGCTGAGTGATGAACCAAATTGTGCTGGGAATTAATTTCCTGGGTGGTGGAGATCGCATTGGCCTGGGGAACCAGGAGATCTCGGTTCGAGTCCCCCCTCGGACCAGAAACTCACTGACTGGTAGTACTCACAGGGTTGTTGTTGTGAGCATACAGTGGAGCTATGTATCCTCTGAACAGGAGGGAAAAAGGTGTGATAAAAATATAGTGCATTTATATTATTAATTTTAAAGCTTCTCTGGGCTGTTCAGAAGGATGAAACCCCTTAAACATACGATATTATAAAGCAAATAAAAACAGTACAGCCGCAAATGCATAATTGGAGCGCACAACTCCAGACAATATCCCATGACCTGATTAAAAACCTATCATATACTGCCAAAGGTGTGGAGGACCAGGAAGGACTTAACCAACACCAAAAAGATAACAGTGTTGGCAGCAGGATGTCTCACTGCGGGGCTACCACTGAGAAGACCCTCCCTCTTACTTATTTTTATTTGTTTTTCTATTTATATCCTGCCTTTCCTACAAAGGGCTCAAGGCAGCTTACATCATTCTCCTCCTCCTCCATCTTATCCCCCCAACAACAACCCTGCGAGGTAGGTTGGGCTGAGGGTCTGTGACTGGCCCAGAGTCACCCAGTGGGCTCCATGGCTGAGCGGGGACTTGAACCCAGGTCGTCTGAGTCCCAGTCCCACGCTCTTCACCACGACACCACACTGGATCTCTCGTAACTCCTGCCCAAGCTGTCCATGGAAGAGGGGCCTGAGACGGTTGGCTTGAGCCATGAAAAGTCAGAAGCCGGAAGGTGCCAAGTTGGTGATGGAGAATGAACAATTCACCGTGAGATTTTCCTAAAGATGGAACAAATCAAGACCCTTCGGATGTGAACCTGTGCAAGTTCAGACAGAAAAAAGACCTACATTTTCCTGCAAGTAGGTTATTTTTTTCCTTCCAAAACATGCATAAGAGGGAGACTTTCTTAAATTACCTACCAAGCTTTTAAAGAATCTGTCCATTTATATTTATATTTGAAAACCTGGAACAAAGTTCAGAGTTACTCAATACACATACAATTTCTTGAAACCTGAAAACCTGAAAAATGAAAAAGGGTTCAAATCTTCAAACATGGGTGTGGAACCTCTTTTAGTTTGAGGGCCAAATTCATTTCAGGAGCAACTCCTGAGAGCAAAATTCCAGTAACGGGCAGAAAGAAAGACAATCTGGAGACAGCCAAACACCTCTGCCTATTTTAATGTTTTACTGCCAGCATGTCAACCTTGGGAAAGGTGTGGGGATGGGGATGGGAAAAATTTGCAAAACCTAGAAACTCCACTAAAGATTCCTGGCTGGAGGAAAAGGAATATGTTGAGCATCATAGGCTGGAATATGTTGAGTGTCACAGGCCTTCTTTCTGATTAAATATTTCAACACACTGGGCAAAAATGGATCCATTGGAGCGGCTTCTAAGGACTGCACTCAACCTTCGACAGGAGCCCAAATGCATGCATATTACTGAAGGAGAAAGAAGATACTGACTTCTATCAAACTTGGGACCTTTTTTATGATTGGCTGGAGAAACGGGACTTGGCTTAGATTTAAAGAAGTCTTTAAGTTTTTATAAATCGATTTGAATTATGATTATGTTAAAAAGATATGTTATGGGGGCTGACCCAGTACGTCCGATGTATTTGATGATCGATGTTTTTTAGTTTTTAGTTTAAAATCTTTATAAAAATCTTTATAAAAAAAAAAAGGAGCCCGAATGCATGCAAATCCCACTGATAAGCCTGAGTCTTACTAGCACCAAGGCAGAGGCCGCCCTAGGAAATCCATGAGGCTTTCCCAGGAATATCACGGTCATTTTCACAGTTCACCTGTTTTCCTCTGAAGAGCTTCAGCCAAGCACTTGCAAGCAGCACACAAGAAAGAATGCATAACCCGGTGTGCAGGTAAATATAGAACATGGGGTATTGACTTGCAGGTTGGTTGGAGGAAGCTGGGAGCCGTAGTCCAAGCTTCTGGCGGGCACCCAGTTGGAGAAGGCTGTGCTAGGAAGTTGAAGATTCTGCTCTTCTGCAAAGCTGGGGCAGTTCAGGGGCAGGAAAGCGGGGAGAAGCGCATTTCCCTGCACAGCATGGGAAGGGGCTCCCTTACCTGGTACAGGTGCCCTGCCTACTTCTGAGCAGGCTGCTTGTATTTCCAGACAGACCTCTTACCGAATAGCGCCAACAAGGACGGTGGAATGGGGTTGGTCTCTCAGCCGCACCCACTTTACCTCTGACGGCTCCCACCACCAGAATGTCCCGCCCCTTTCCTTGGGGGTGTCTCCAAAACAGAAGCCACCCCTTGGGCTTCAAAGGGCCCTGCTCTTGCAACGGGCTGGCTGGCGCAGGGATTTCAAGAGAGCTGCAGGGAGGGGCAAACTCAAAAGGCCTCGTGCCGGCCTCCCGCGACAACTCGCTCCTCGCCAGGGAGGCTTGCAGGTGCTTGCAGCAAGCACGGGCCTTCGAACCCAGCAGTAAAAAAGAATTAATGCCAAGGCAGCTGCTTTTACGCCCTCCCTCGCTCTTAAAGCCTCTTGGCCAAACTCCCTGCCTGTGGTCCGTTTTCGCCCATCTGCTCGCACAAAAGGGGCCGAGGGAGAGTGAGCTGGGAGGCTGACATCGGGGCATTCCTGCGCACTGCTTCACCTTTGCGTTTTAGCATTCCTGGCAAGGAAGACACGGCACTACCCCACGCAAGTGCACGCATGACCACGCCACCCACGGCTCCGGGCTCGTGCCTGCCATCTTGCCGCTCACGCTTGCTTGGGGCGGTCGCGGCTAAATCAGCAAAAAAATAATGACGAGCTTGTCCGCTTCCCATCTTGAAGGCATTTTAAGCAAAACTGGGCAGCCGGCCTCTTCACACTTCAGAGGAATCCTGTAACATACTTGGCACACGGGAACTGCTTGCCCTGGAGAAAGCTCTCCGTCCCAGCCTCCTTAAACGGGAGGAAACCCCGCAGAGACACTTCTCATGTAATGCATGAAGCACTCGGTTTAGGAGAGCACTGAGAGACACATGCGGAACGCGCCCGTTTGAACAGGTTGCTCGGCATTCTGCAGAAATGCATGGCTGAATCGGCTCTCAAGCACGAGCGATTCATGAGGGGCATCCCCCAAATTGAAGAAATAACCCCTGAAGGATGGCTAAATCACTCATCCATGATAACCGTTCTAAGGAAGAAATCCCTTTGTTATAGATGATGCCACCAACCGGGACAAAATAGGGGCCCAGACAAGCAAACAAACCTTAAGAGAGAAGAAACAGAGAGTTTCTCTGTCAAGGAATCTGTAATTTGTGGTCTGCAAACTTCCCAAGCCCTTTCATGCAAAAAGCAACATCTGCCCCACCAGCCTTTTTTCTCAGCACCCTCATCTGGGCAGGAAGCAGGGATCTTGGCACTGTTCAAAAGCAAGGAGGTGAGATCTCCCAAGAGGTCAAGACCACCAAGAGATCTCCCGGGAAATTGAGTTACGACCGGCCCATCCCCATCTCTTGCACAGAGGAAGGAGCAGAATTAAATGGGGGAACAAAAAGACTTGCATCTAAAGATGGGTGGTCTTGGAGGTCTTCTCGTTCATATCCTACTCAACGCCCTGAAAGATGGCTGTCCAAGCCTCCAATGAAATGCCTCCAGTGAAGGAGGGCCCGTTACTTCCTGAGGCGGCTTGCAGTCCTGTCCAAAGTGTTGGTTATTAGGATGCTTAGGAGAAATTTGCTTCCCTGCAAATTACATCCACCGCTCTGTTCTTGTCTTCTGGAACCACAGAGGACAAATATGCCCCAACCATCAGCCTGCAACTCCTCCAGAGAGCTGAAGGTATCTCTGAGTCTTTTCTGGAGCAACTCTTCTCAAAGCCAGCTCATTCAACTGTTCGACTCTGGTGCGCCTGCAGCTGGAGTCTTGTGTTCAGTTCGGGGCCCCTCATTACAAGAGGGATATGGCCAGGTTGGAATCAGTGCAGCGAAGGGCCACGAGGATGGTGGCCGGTTTGCAGGGGAAGCCATATGAGGAGAGACGAGGGAGCTGGGGCTTTTCAGCCTTGAAAGGAGGGGACTCAGAGGGGACCTGCTAGCGACATGCAGGTACATGAGGGAGTGCCACATGGAGGTGGGTTGAGACCTGTTCTCCCCTGCAATGGAGGGCAGGATGCGTTCCAGTAAAGAAAAGCTCAGGGAACCAAGATCTGGGGGGATGCCAGGAATTACTTCCTGACAGTTAGGACCCCTAAGGCATGGAATGGGCTTCCACTGGAGATGGTTGAAGCCTCTATGGTGAGGGTGTTTAAGGATAGGCTGGACATGCACATGGTAGGCATGTCATGAGTGGATCTGGCTGGAGCTGGGGGCCAGACTAGATGGCCCAGGAGTCTCCTTCTAACTCTCTGTTTCTATCTCAGGTTGCCTTCTTCTGGATGCACTCTAGCTTGCCAAGAGCCTTCTGAAAATCCAGGATGGAACCCTTATTCCAGAAGAATTCCGACCAGTGGAAAGTTCTTACAGGCTGGTAAGTCCTCTCCCCCTTAGGGTGACCCTATGAATGAGAGCCCCCCCCCCCCGCCCCAATGCCCCGACCTCCACCGCTGTACTCAGCTCTTGCCAAGCCAAGGCTGTGGCTTCCTTGATAGCGTCCACCCATCTCATCTTTGGCCTTCTCCTTCTTCTTCTGCCTTGGGATTTTCCCAAGCATGACTGTCTTCTCCAGGGAGTCTGGCCTTCTCAGGATGTACTCAAAGTCAGACAGCTTCCGTTTTGTCATTTTTGCGTCCAGGACCCATTTTAGGTTGATGGATCTTAGACCTCCTTGTTCATCTTTCCAGAACATTCGCACAGCTGTCCTTCAGCGCCATGTTTCGAACATAACTATTTTCTTCCCGGCAGCTTCCTTAACTGCCCAGCTATCACACCCAGACATAGCAAATGGGAATCCCAATCTTGATTCTCTTTCCTAGTTCATTCTTGACATGCACATGATGGGCATGTCATGAGCGGAGCCGGCTGGAGCCGGGGGTCAGACTAGATGGCCCGGGAGACCCCTTCTGACTCGCTCTGTTTCTATGTTTCTCCCAAGCGTCAGTCTTCCAATTTCTTGTTTGCAGTCTCCATTGCTCAATTTCAGTGTCTTCGACGCTGACATTAAATTAACGCAGCCCAACCAATTAATCAGGGACATTGCTCAGTCAATTAGAAAGCTTTGGATTGGTTCATCTAATCTGTCAAATGTGGAAACTCTGCTAAGAAACTCTGAATGTCAAGTATGAAACCCCAGGAAATATTGATGGAAGTCTGATACCAGTAACAAATACTCTGCAGATTTTAGTAAATATCCAGATATCAAGATACTATCTAGCAAGCATCTGACTTCAGATATAGGTTAGGAAGTCAGTGTTACCCACCTGCTCCTTGCTGGACAAACAGTCTGGCTACAAAGAGGGCGCAACGAGATCTCTGAGCCAAGCAGCTGCAAATTACAGCCCATCTTTGACATTGTAGCTAAGTAAATATTCTTTGCTCAGGCTACGCTTGATGGGAACCACAAAAACGTACTTGTGCCGGGTTCCTGGGAAGCTCATATCTGTTTAAAAGCCTCGGCTCTCCACGCATCAAGTGGCAAATATAATTCAGAGGCGTTAAGGAAATTACTCAACCTTAGAGGTCCTCGCGGACTGCCCTGTACATTTTCACTAGCAGACTTGGCTGCTGAGAGGCAGGTGAGCCATGCTCCGGTGAGCAATTCATTTGCTTTGCTCAAGACGGGGAGCTCTCATTATCCTTTGTAACCCGCGGCAATGAAGACGAGGAGGGCGCACGGCCTCAGAGGGCATCTTCCGAACAAAGCTAAACAGGCTCTGAATTGGCACAAACGGGCCTTAAATCTCGTCGATGGGAGGCGGGGGGGCGATTCTGGAGTCTGAGAAGCCATTCCGTCAGATGCCCGGCTCTTTCCTCTCCTGGCTCCCTCTGAAGCACGAGGGATCGTCGTGGGACTCTGGGACCCTTTCCGAGGACGTCACGGAGCGGATGATCGAGAGGTTGGAGCCGATTGCACTGAGGAAAGGCTGAAGATGTCGCAAGGGTTTCAGGTTTGGCAGAAGAGACAATTGACAATGGAGGTCATGAAAGAAATGGATAAAATTACGTGTGCTGTGGAGAAAGCAGAGAGAGCGAGAGCGAGAGAGAGAGCGAGAGTGCTTCTAGGTGTTGAGAACTCCTAATGACATCAAGGAGCTGTTAGCTCAAGTCGGACAGAAGGAGGTTCTTCCCACGACAACCGATTTCACACAACACTGGCAATCCAGCCAGCAAGTGAGCTGCGCGGTGTGTGTTGCTTGTGAAGAAGCCACGGTACACCCAACAATTGGCTTGATGTGGGTTGGCCCTGCCCCCCGCACGTCCCTGCCCCCCATGGCAGACATGAGCTTGTTCAGGCTTCCCACGGCTGCTTCTCCCACGTCATGATTTAGATTCTTTTTTTTTGTACTTCTGCACTGAGGACAACCCCAAACTGAAGAGAATCCTTCATGCACCCAGAGAAGCGGTGTCTAGTCCACCAATATTGATGCTGCGGCAACGCTGGCCATTTGTAAAAGGTACCCAAGACGCAGTTGTGTTTGCAGAGAAAGAATCGATAGCTCAAGCAACAGTCTTGGCCTCTGGAAATTCATGAGAATAGACAGGAGAAAAGATCAATCGACTTGCTTAAAATTAAAATTGCTTAAGTGTCTGTCTGGCCTGGGGCCAGGCTGTATTTCATTTGGGAGGACTCAGTCCCTTGCCATCTTGTCTAAAACGAGCCGTTTCATTAAAAACAGGAGGGAAAGAATCGGTTTGCAAAGCAGGAAAACAAACTGAAGATGCTTTTGGCTCAGTGAAGCACAGTTACTTTCCTCAAGGTTTCTAGTTTAATATGCACATTGAGTAATAAAGAAGACACGGCAACAGATAAATTAAACACAATGGCTTGGAAGTTGACTTTCCCTGCAACCAAGTTAGGTTTCAAAAAAAATTAAAGCTGCTTTTGGGTCTTTTTTACTCTGGGAGTCTCAAGGCTAGTTCACTGCCTGGAACATAAAATTATCTCAAAAATACTGGTTTCTACCCCTCTTTCCACACTTCACTCCTCTCCTCTAGCCCAGGGCTGCCTGTGGCTATGGGCAACCCAAAGATCCTCCACCTGTTTCCCGCCTGTAACTCTCATCCTAGCCTACCTCATAGGGGTGTTGTGGGAGAAGCATTTAACCAACTTCTGCACATGTTGAAAGAAACTGTCCGTCCACCCAAAGGGCGAGCACCAGGCAGTCATGACCTGCTTGCTCAGCTCTCTGCACTGGAGTTTCCTGCCTGCTCCTGGTTTGCAGCAGCCCTGCCTGCAGAGAAATTCAGCGGAGAGCCCAGATCACAATGCAGGTGAGGAGCGGCTTGTGGAATCCCTGCATTGTGAAAGGAGACAGCCTTCCCTCAAGGAGGTCAAGAGGATGGTAAATACAAGAAGGGCCTTCTTAGTGGTTGCCCCTCCATTACAGAATGGACTTCCCAGAGAAACTCACCGGGCACCAACCTCGTTCTCGTTTCCACACCAGGCAAAGACCTTTCTCTTCTCTGAATATTTTAAGAACTGATTCAAAATGTTACTTATTCTGACATCTGTTGTCCTGCTTACTTGATCTAAAATGATGTTTTATTGTTATTGTTCTGTTCTGATTTTATATACGACTGGTTCTATTGCTGCTGTTTTTAGCACTATGATGGTTGTAAGCCTCCTAGGAAATCCTTTTGGATTAGTGGGCAGCATATCAATCTATAAATAAACTGACAAACAAGCAGGGAGGACCCCATGGTGTGGGGAGCTGTGGGTCCAAAGCTTCATGATCACAGGCATGCTGAATAAGCACCTTTTCTCTCCCTCACAGAATCGGTGTGATAAAAGGAAGGCAGGAACACACCACTGCCCGAGGGGAGGCATTAAAGATATAATGAATACATCTCAAACCATGGAGGCAAGTAGCACTTGCATTTCAAAAGACATGTAAGAGGGAGTAATTGTGCAAGCAGATTGTTTTTTTTAAAATGTACTTAAAATCTGCTTCATTGCTGGCCATTCTGCATGCAAAATGTTCTTTAATGAATTCTCTTTTTGCCACCTGGTGGAACGCATCTCCAGGGAAGGCTTTCAACTGCGGCTTCTTTTGTGCAAATGAGTCATCAGCTGATCGCTAAAGTGGGCATAAAGTGCACACTTACTGGGTGTGGGCTGTCGAGCTTTTCCTTTTCTTAATGCTATGCGGTTCCTTAGTCATACTACTTGTGTGCTGAATTGTAATTAGCGGGGGCAGAAATATCACTTTTTTTATCCGAGCAAATCAAAGCCGCTCCGGGTGCCTGGCTTTCTGTTCCTTTGAATTGTGGCTTTTACAAAGGTGAATTATGTTTTAGGGAAGCTGTTCTGGAGCAGCGGTCCTGCGATTCTGTAACGGCCGTGATCAGAAGGCCTTTGAGTTCAAGGTGTGGGGCGCCTATCACTCCTGTGATGCAGCACTCGTGGATTCTGCTTCAGGAGTACGAGAGGAGCTGGAATTCTCTGTTGAAATGCCAAAGCTCACAGACCCAGAGATAAACCAGGCAACTGCCAAGATCCAGGCAGTCTCAAGCTCAGCGGGAACTTCTGGGGAGTGCTTTGAGATGGGGATGAGGGACTTCCCCTCGTTTGTCCAACCAAAAGGCCTCAGCCAAAGAGAGTGGACTTCGGTGCTCCTAGCGAGTGGCATGGAAGCAGTGTGACCCACCTGGAAGGTGAAGGTTTTTTTGTTTGCGACCGAGGAGATCTGGGAATCAGTTTCAAGAGAGAGCTTTGGCCATGGTTAGGAACAGATATGAAATTAATAAGACGAGTGCCACGGGGTTCAGTCCTGGGTCCAGTGCGCTTATGAATGATTTAGATGAGGAAGTACATGGAAAGATAATCAAATGTGCAGATGATATAAAACTGGGTGGAATGGCAAACACCCCAGAAGACAGAATGAAGATTCAGGGTGATCTTGATAAATTTGAACACTGGAAAGCAACGGGATGAGATTCAGTAAGGACAAGTGTCAAGTCCTCCACCTAGAAAAAAGAAACCAAAGGCATCGATACAAGATGGGGAATACGTGGCTCAGCAGAACTGAACAAGAAAAGATCTCAGAGTAATTGTGGACAATAGGCTAAAAATGAGCCAACAATGTAATGCAGCTGCCAAAAGGGCAAATGCTGTTTTGGGATGCATTAACAGAAGTGTTACTTCCAAATCACGAGAAAGAGTAGTTCCTCTATAGCCCCATTAGTCAGACGTCACCAGGAGTCCTGTGTTCAGTTCTGGGCACCAAGATTTAAGAAAGATGCAGGCAAATTAGAAAGGGTCCAGCGGAGGGCAGCAAAAATGATCCAGGGTTTGGAAACACTGCCCTGCGAGGAGAAACTGAGGGAACTGAGCATGTTCAGCCTTGAGAAGAGGAGGAGGGACATGAGATCCCTCGGCAAGTACTTCAAAGAGGAAGGTCAAGATCTCTTCTTCCTGATGCCAGAGTACAGGACACGGAAGAATCAAGTTGCGACAACCCAGATTCAGGCTGGACATCAGGAAAAGCTTCCTCACTGTCAGAGCAATGCAACAGTGGAACCAGATGCCTGGAGAGGTGGGGGGCTCTCCCACGCTGGAGACACCCTAAAAGAAACTGGGCAACCACCTGAGTGGGATGGTGTAAACTGGTGTCCTGCATCAGCAGGGAGTTGGACTCGATGGCCTTCTTGGCCCCTTCCAGCTCTTCTATTCTATGATTTTGTGATTCTAAGAATGATGATGATAATTTCAAATTACGCCTAATGGCCATTCTTTTAATGCTGGTTGTTTCTTTGGCTGTTTGCGACGCTCCGCCTTTGTCACCTGTCTGAATGGTGTGGGCACCACCACAGCGAGGCTGGTTTGGAAAAAACTGGTTACATTTGGGGAAGGGGCCCAGTCTGGATGGCACGAACACCCACCTGTGGGAGCAAACCATGGCTGCTGGGTCATCCAAACCAGGTCTGTGTGTGCATCGCCTGTATATCCCTGGAAGAAGTCGATGGAGAGGAACTATGAGGCCCTAAAACGGAACTGCTGGGCCGCTGTTTGTTGAGTTTCGGGAGATTCTGGTAGGCTCTGTTTAACTCAGTGGCACTTCCTTTTGGGTGGATATATACAGAATTTCTCAGCAAGTTATACAAGGTTCTATTCGATTTCAATCAGGAAAATAAAGAAACAAACAAGCCTCACTTCTTTCCGTCCGACAAACGTGCTCGGAAATAACAACACCTCCTCTTCGCCCAAACATAAATGATTCAAGGAAGCCATTTTGAAGGTCAACTTCCCTGAGGGGGGAATTGTCACAGCAATAAAATCAAATTGAATTAGGTGTGTGGGGGGGGGGGGGGAATGAGTGTGAGAGGAATTAAGCCCCGTCCGTGCATGTCTCAGACTGGAATTTGGAAGGTGAAGAGTTGGAGGCAGACGGACAATGCTTCACAAGGGTGGGAAGATAAAAGACCCACAGGGAAATGGGGGCGGGGGGATCCACCAGAAACCACCTTGCACCAGTTCATTGTCCAGGCATGTTCTGTCTCAGAAGTGATTAAGAACTATTACACCAGCAAAAAGCTCTGTACAGCCCACCGAGTGCAAACCATTAGCAGGTCTCTCAAGGGTTAATTCCTGGTCTACTATTTCTTTGAAGTTATTTGCTACATACTGTGAGAGGGAAGAAATAGCTGCCATGCCAGGAGAGGCGCCAAGGGCTGGTGACTTCCCGCCTAGACTTCTGTAACGCGCTTTAAGTGGGGCTTCCCCTGAAGACAGTCCGAACACTTCAATTGGTGCAAAATAGAGCTGCCAGGTTGCTGGCGGGGACGGGGCGTTATGCTCACATGACTCCAGTCCTCCGTCAGCTTCACTGGCTTCCCATTGAAGCCCGGGCCCAATTCAAGGTGTTGATTATGACCTACAAAGCCCTAAACGGCTTGGGTCCTGGCTACCTGAACGAGCGCTTACGTCCGTATATGCCCGACCGCCCTTTGAGATCTGCGGGAGAGTCCCTTCTCCGGGAACCCTCCATGAAAGAAATTAGGAGAGTAAGTACCCGGAGGAGGGCTTTCTCTGCGGTGGCGCCCAACCTATGGAATTCACTCCCCAAAGAGGTCCGCCTGGCACCGTCGTTACTGGTTTTTCGGCGCCAGGTAAAGACCTTTTTATTTAAACATAATTTCAATTGTTAAAACATATGATCTGGCCTGGGCAACTTCTTCTTCCTTCTCTTTCTCCTCCTATATTTTTATTTTATACTGATAATTTTAATTTTGTATTTGTAAATCAATGTATTTTTTGTATTTTTATATTTAATGGTAATTTATTATGTACTATTGTATTTCAATGTATTTTATCATGTTGTAAGCCGCCCCGAGGTTTCGGCAAGGGGCGGCATAGAAATGTTATAATAATAATAACAACAACAACAACAACAACAACAACAACAACAACTAGGAAGGGGCAATGAGGGATTTGTGAGGAACCTGCTTCGGGAGTCCATCAGATTAATTAATTAATGTATGTATGTATGTATGTATTCGATTTCTATCCTGCCTTTTTCCTACAAAGGGCTCAAGGCAGCTGACATCATTCTCCTCCTCCATCTTCTCCCCACAACAACAACCCTGTGAGGTAGGTTGGGCTGAGAGCCTGTGACTGGCCCAGAGTCACCCAGCTGGCTCCATGGCTGAGCGGGGACTCGAACCCGGATCGCCTGAGTCCCAGTCGCACGCTCTTCGCCACGACGCCACACGGGCTCTCCCACCTCTCGGTTCCCCAGCCTCCGGCCTGCTTTCCCACAGCTGTGAGCCTGGCAGAAGTACTAAGGGTCCACACGGGGAGGGTGCCCACCAAGAAGTGATTGCACACCAATTGTACAAGTGGGGTCCTTCTCCTGTACAAGAGATCTGTGACCCCAGAGAAGGCTGCCCACAGAGGCAGAAAAATACTGCCAGCTTTTCAAAATGGAGGCGGGCCGAGCAAGAGAATGCTGCACCCCAGAAAATGCGCAGAAAAGCAGCGGTGGGCCTTGTCCACCGCGGTTAAGGAACTGGCATTGGGCACAGCTCCCATCACCCCATCCATGCGGCCTCAACCATGATTTAGCGTTACATTTGCTAATCATGGTTAATGTTGAGAGTGCAGGCCTTGGGCAATCATTTATTATTGATTTAAAAGACTTTTATCCTGTCTATTTCTGAGATGGATCTCAAGAGGGCTTCCAGGAACTACAGCCTAACAGCATGTTAAAGAACATAATTTCACAGGGCGAAATGGAGTGGGTACTCCAAGTCAGTCAAGAGGAGCAAACTCGCTTCAAATGCTGCCTGCAGATCATGGTTACAGGGAAGGACCTTGATCTAGCAGAGATGTACCACTAAGCCATGGCTAGAGTGGAGAGGGGAGGGGGAGCTGGCATTTGTGCTCCAGTGGAAGGGAAGGAACCTTTTTGGTACAGGTAAGAAAATGGCAGCATAATATGCTCAGCTGCATGGAGAAAAGGTTCGTGCTTCCACCAACTCCACCACTCTTGGTTCTCCTCGTCAGGTTCCCCACATTCGCACTAACCTGCTGGTGTTGTCGTGCCCCTTCTGTGATGGACTTTAGAACCGTATCAATGAGCTGCTTGCAAATGACCTTGAAGAAAAGAAAAGGCTGGGTGAGTAAGAGAGACTTTTTCTCGTTCCGAAGCGATGCACTTGATGTGCACCAGGAGGTCCTTCTCCTTTGATGACAGGACCAAAATTGGGGAGGCATCAGGCCGGAGATGCAGAACAGACCAAAAGGAGTCTGCCTTCACACTCGGGTGTGGTTTATGGAACTCCCTGCCACAAGATGCAGAGATGGCTGCCAGTTTAGGTGGTGTTAAAGGACGATGGATGAAATGGTTCTCCGTGAAATCTGGTCTTGCAAGATCAGGAGGAGGCCTTTGCTTCCAGTTGGTGGACTTCCCAACTGGCTGATACAGGAAACAAGAAGCTGGGACGGGCAGAGCACCCGTTCAGTCCAAGAGGTCCTTCTCCAGTCCAATGCTGCCATCAATCAATAAGTGCTCTGCTCTTTGGGCGTCCCAAATCAGCCGTCAGAGCAGCAAAGCCTGCGCTAAACTGAGAGACAAACGGCATTTCCCTCCATACAGATGTTTGCTCCAGGACCAAAATACTCCTTCCCTTATGAGAAGATGCAGTGGAAGGGAAACAACTGCACAGTTAAAGCACAACCCCCAAACTCCAAGAAGGCAAGACACGGGGCCTCGCTTGACCTACCGGGTGACGTTCAAAGAGGTCGAGAAACATGGATCCCGTCAAGGGGCTCTTGCGCTTGGTCAGAAACAAGTGCAAGGCCTCCCTGTATGCAGCGGTCACTCGCTCCAGGTCCAGGCTGCCAACGGCAGGGGGCTGAGAGGGTGAGAAGAACGGATAAGGGGAAGTTGGTGGAGTTACAGCCTCACCATGGCAGCCGAGCAGTTTTTGAGTACAAGTGTGTCCGAGATGCTACACCATTTAGCCTTACAACTTAAATCTAGAAACACAGAAACAGCGCGAGTCAGAAGGGGCCTCCCGGGCCATCTAGTCTGACCCCCGGCTCCAGCCAGCTCCACTCACGACACGCCCACCAAATCTAGATATCTGATAAATAAACATGTGGAGATAATCCAAGGCAGGACAACATGAGCCCTGTTGCTTTTCTGCATTGTCTATCATAATGTGCAAGCTCCGGGTTTACCTTAGAATGTTAGTTTTATTTCACAAGGTTCTAGATCTCATGGCTTCAAGGATAAACTGGGGAGTTGGGAGAAGAAGCCTGAGCAAGCCCCTTTCGGGGCTCTCTATAGTAATGTCTTGTTTTATTTTTGTATTTATTTATTTATCTCATTTCTATACCAATCCATAGCCCAAGTTCTCTGGGCCGTTTACAACAATCCATAAAACAAGACAGCAAAGTACAATAAAAGTATCATAAAATCAAAGAAACACTAAAAAGTCTAAAACAGCCTACAATTGTAAGGGGATTTATGTCCTACTTTTCTACCTCAGGTGCCCTTAAAAGAGCTTACAAACAAATCAGTTTAATGCACATGAAGATACACTATCAAAACAACTTCATGCAGAAACAGAAATCATACACAAACAAGATAAAAGCAACAGTCACAGAGAAGGGGGTCAAAAGAATTTTAAATGCCACTAAAAGCACAAAAAGCAAGGACAGGCATTCCTGGGTACCTAAAGCTAATAACAAAGATGCTAAATGTGTAAAAGGGAAAGTGCCACAGTTCAGCTGTTACCCCAAAAAAGTCCTTTCCAGCAGACACCCAGAAACGTTCTGGTGAAGAATTTCCCCCAAAAGCCCTGATATTATTGAGAAAGGCTAACTAAATTAGTGTCTCCTAATTTAGAAAGGATCAGTGCTATTTGGGTATATATTTAACTGGCACCTTTCCTCCTAGGAGTTCGTGGTAAAGGTTGCACTTCTCCTCACCCCATTTTTTCCAACAACAACCCTGTGAAGTGGGCAAGGCTTAGAGTAACCCAGAGTTACTCAATGAACTTAACGGCCATGCAAGGATCAGAACTGGGTATCCTCAGTCCCAGCTGAGCACTCCTAACAATACAGCAACTCTCAGTGACAAGGACTATCTAAAATGCTTCAACAGTTTCACTACAGCAAGAATTTGCTGCACGTCCATATAAAAACACGTTTTGTTTCCTGGAAATATGTGAAAAGTAAAACAAGGTATTTTCCCTGTTGTCCTCCCAAACACAAGACTCAGCGTCCCACTCGTAACAGGAGCCCGGGACTCCTGGATGGAAGACTCCAAGGGGCAGATGGGATAGGGAGTTGTGCCAAGGACTTCCGTGCTAGGCTGACTGGTGGAAACTATGGGATGGCCCAGGAAGCTGTTCTGGAGGATTTCCATGCTAGGTTCCGACTGGGAGAAGGGGATAAGATGGGAGGACGCAAGGGGGGGTGTCCCAGCGGTGGAAGACCACCTGTTTTCTCTGGCACGAGGCAAGCAGACGGGACGATGCAGGGTCGCCTCACCTGGGCAGCAGTCCCGTCTTTTCCTCTGCTGCTCTTGAGCTTCTTTTTCGGTTGAGCATCGTGTGGAGCTGCGTCACCAGCTCCTGCATTTCCCTTCAGCACTCGGACAAGGTACAATGACGCACTGAAAGTTCAGGGAAATCGTCACTGACAGCCACAAAGAGGCCTTCAGCATTAAGGCGCACACGTCCATTTATTCACTGACATGGTTGTATTAATTTTCCACAAACGCATTTCCCCCAAGCACAGATGAAAAAGCAGTAGGGAACAATAAAGTACAATGAAAACAGATAACTGGGCATGATCTCTGCTGAAGACAAACGCTGCCCGAAGCACACACGATTTTCTTCCTGAGCTACCGGCAAAGTTCCCTTAAAACGGCTTGGGGTCAGGTTAAATGAAGCAGCACCTTGTCCCATATTCAGTATTTAATAGATGTATATCCCGCTTTTTCCTTACAACAAACACAAAGTGGCTTATGTGATTCTCCTGCTCTCAATCTTCTCCCCACTGCAACAGCCCTGTGAGGTAGGCTGGGCTGAGAGTGTGACTGGCCCAAAGTCATCCGTGGGCTCCAGGGCTGAGCGGGGACTCGAACCCGGATCGCCTGAGTCTGAGTCCCATGCTCTTAACTACAACACCATGCTGGCTCTCCTCTGTTTCTCCCCAGTCCTAAGATCATCCACTTAAGTCCTTTTCTGGGAACCCTCCCCAAAAGATAGGGGGTGGTGATGAGGAGAAGGGCCTTCCCAGTGTTGCCACCCCATTTCTGAAACATGCTCCCCAAAGAGGTATGCCTGGCACTACCTCGAGTTTCTTTTCCAGATATTTTAATAGATAAATTTATCTATAAACTTTATGGTTATTGCTAATGTGTCATGTGTTAATCCTAACCATCATTGCTGTGGGGCATTTTTTTCTTTTTCTTTTTTTAAATTTAGCAAGCTTCTATGCTGCCTCATTCGCCAAAGCCTCAGGGCGGCTCACAACACCTCAGGGCGACTCACAACACTGATGCTCTTGTACTGGTTTTATTGTCTATTGAAAGATTTAAATACAATTATTGCTATCACTTGTTTACATGTTTTCTAAATTTGCAAACCAACCAGAGAGTCCTTTGGGCTATGTGCAGCATAGAAGTACAATGAATAAATGAGTAAAAACCATGAGGACTAGAAACCTGTTTTTAGTTTATTTTAAAACTGAGAAACCTGGGCTTGTATTTAACTAAAATCTTCAGAGTTCAAGGCACCAGGCTTTTCCCTGAGAAACGCAGGCAACTTTTTGACTGCAGTGCTAAAGGAGAAGACAATCACAGCACAAGCATTTGTTAGATCTGTTCAATCCACCCACCTGAAGCAGTACAAGGCCACTGAGGAATCGCTCTGCTTGCAAGCTCTCTTCACCAGGTCTTCCAGCTGGGTGTGCAGTTCCTCCCGGATGGGGGCCACATTTTTGCAATACTGCTTGGACCGGCATAAATTATTCCTGAAATCCCAAGAGCAACACCGTAGAAGATGCAGTCAGCAATCCAAGAAACCCCACAAACAATATTCTTAATTTTTATGATATCCCTCCTTTTAATCCTGCACGGAACCCAGAATGGTTTGCATAAACCTCCTACCCAGTTTATCCTTGTAACAACAGCCCTGTAAGGTAGGCTAAGTGAGAATCACTGCCAGTGAGCTTCAGGGACAAGTGAGGACCCAGTGAGTCACTGAACGAGCTTTATGGACAAATGAGGACTAGAACCCAGATCCCTCCACTCCCAGTCCAGCTCGTGAACCCCTATGCCACAATTCAGCCTTGACGGGCCATCAAAGCACTGAATCTGCGAATCATAAAACATTAGAGTTGGAAGGGGCCATGAAGGCCATCAGGTCCACCCCCCTGCTGTTGCAGGACACCAGTTTACACCATCCCACTCAGGTGGCTGCCCAGTTTCCTTTTGGAATGCCTCCAGCGTGGGAGAGCCCCCCACCTCTCCAGGCAGCTGATCCCACTGTCCTATCGCTCTGATTATGGGGAAGCTTTTCCTGATGTCCAGCCTGAATCTGGTTGTCGCAGCTTGAATGGATTCTTCCGTGTCGTGCACTTTGGCATCAGCAAGAAGAGATCTTGGCCTTTCTAGAGGGATCTCATGCCCCCCCCCCTCATCTTCTCTGCTCAAGGCTGAACATGCCCAGTTCCCTCAGTCTCTCCTTGCAGGGCAGTGTTTCCAAACCCTGGGTCATTTTTGTTGCCCTCCGCTGGACCCTTTCTAATTTACCTGCATCTTTCTTAAATCTTGGTGCCCAGAACTGGACACAGGACTCCAGGTGACGTCTGACTAATGGGGGGTACAGAGGAACTACTCTTTCTCGTGATTTGGAAGTAACACTTCTGTTAATGCATCCCAAAATAGCATTTGCCCTTTTGGCGGCTGCATCACACTGCTGGCTCGTGTTTAGCCTGTCGTCCACAACTACTGCAAGACCTTCTCCCTTTTCAGCTCGGCTGACCCACGTATCCCCCATCTTTATCGATGCCCCTGGCTTCTTTCTCCTGGGTGGAGGACTTGGCACTCGTCCCTAGCAGCAGACTCCCAGTTCCAACACGCGCCGCGCATGCTCTGCCTATCCTCCCCTCCCTGCCCTGGAGACCTTACAGCCCAGGAGGAACTGCTGCCAGGTGGGTTCTCTGATCTTTGCCAGGGGGAACAGGACCTGAGCTGGTTTATGCTGACTCCCTTTCCCAGCTCCAGAACGAGAGCTCCTCCCTATGAGACTCACGTGAAGATAGCCGCTGTCTTCCGGAGGTAATCTTGCTCCTGCTTGTTGGACTCCGAGCTCATGCTCTGCTCGATCACGGTGAGCAGCGGATCGATCACGCTGAAGACAAGAGGACTGTCTGCCCGCTTGGTCAGAAACACCTCCACCAAATCCAGCACCTGGATGGTACAGAGATGTAGGACATTAGCCGCCGAGAGAAGCAGAACTGGAAAGAGGTGCCTGAGCAGAAATCTCAGGTAAAGCTGCTTCACTCCACCCAGGCCAATGTTGCCAGCTCTGACTGGCAGCATTTTTCCACGGACCCAGCATTCCCACCAGAGTCCCTTTTAACTGGACGAAGGGATGACCTAGGGAAGCTTTCCCAACCTGGTGCCTTCTAGTTTCCCACCACGGCTCCCAGCATTCCTGACCATCAGCTTGACTGGATGGGGCCAATGGGTGCTGAAGTCCCAAAACATCTGGAGAAAACCAGGTAAACTGGAAATGCTGGGACTGAACCTGGGATTTCCTACATGCTACAAGGTCACGTGGAGATGGAGAGGCCGTCCAACAGGACAAGCTTTTATTTTTCTGCTATTTCAGACCACAATCAGAAGCGACTCGGAGACACGGCATTCAACTGAAAGCCACCCTGAGGCTTATAATCTCGGGCCATCCATGATTTCTGAGCCGTGAGCTTAAAATCAGGTGCGCAGGGATGCCACAGAGTGTCCACTCCCTCTTTTCAGCCAGCCAAACTTTAACCAGGGTTTGGAACAAGCCAGGATGGAAACCATGAGCTGATCCTAGCTTGTTTCGAAGATCTGCACATCAACATAAATGGCAGCTCCAGTGGTCTGATTAATGCGCTTGCACGGTTTGTGCATGGCATACTAAAATACCGCCGAGCTTTCCGGGCCCAAAGGGTACTCATAGAAACCTCCATACTCTTTACCGGCGTCCATTCTGCACTGAAACAGCTCAAGATCTTTGGCGCAAACTAGATGAATTTGTCTGCGGAAAGCTTCTTGGATCAGCACCCTAAGACCGTCACAGACCGAAGGCAGTTCCCCTGACCTCCTCTTACCAGTTTTTCTTCTCTCCTGCCCCAATCCACCCAATTCACCCACCTCTCTCCGCAACTCAAAAGGTAAACACGCTGCTTTGAAATTATCATTTTGGGCTGAAGGGCAGGTCTACAGCTGTTGTTCAGTTTCTTCCTATCAAATAACTGCCAAGTCAGTCCCGAACCGGACCACCCAATGCTTTGGCACAATCCTCTGCTGACATCTGCAGGCGATGGTTGGAATAAGCCTACACTGGCTTGGAATCTCTTCCGAGATCCACCCACATAGGAAGGATGGAAGTGCTGCAAGGCCTGCCAGCATAGCTACCCACGGAATAGCACGTCGTGTCGCCTTTGCTAAGCTGGCAAGGCCTGGGCCCACCACCGGATGGGTGACCCCGTGCGGAAGTGGAGCAGGGCTTGGACTTGAGGGCCTTACGGGCCCCTTCCAATTCTACTACCATCCTGTTCTATTTTAAATTAAGTTGATAAATAGGGATAGAATAATAAATATGCCCCTCTTCCCCACCAGGAACAAAGCGGGTCTAATGAGTTGTGCAAACCCCTGAACAATAATTGGGGTTTTATCGCTGCTTTATGGTATTGCTTCTTTTATTTTAGAGTTTTAAGCTACTTCTAGGTTGGTGTTCCACCCACTAGGGCCTTCCAGAGTGGCTGGACTATAAATCTCATCATCCTATTGGCCATGCTGCCTGGGAATCGCAGGACCGGTCTTCTGACCCATCTGGAGAACATTGGGCTGGGGAAGACCAACCTACAGGTGATCAACCAAAAACATTTTAAGTGTACGTGAAGGGCTACAATTCAGGAAACCAAAAAGGCTCAACGGCCTCTCGTCGGAAAGGCTTTCCTCCCACCTTTATTTTGAAATCGCGGCGTAAGATCTTCTCCTTCCGCAGCTTCTCCTTCTCATCTTTCTTGGCCTGGATGCGTTTCTGCTGCTCAGCAAAAAGGGCCGAGAGATTCTTGTCGAGGGACATCATGGTCTCGTCGTCAGCATCCTCATCGCTGTCGTCTCCATCCTGGAATTAAAAAAAAAGAACAGTCAAAATAATAATTTTCTTTAGAAAAGTAGAATGCAGTCAGAAGTAGCCTCGGCCAGAAAATGAACCCAGTCTGTTGAGCTTTGGGGCTGGTTTACAGCTTAGGAAGGGGTTTTTGTGGGAAGAGTCCTTGCGTCCGAGGCCAACGCCATTCCCTCGGCTCTGCCCGCAATCACACGTACACACACAAGTTGCATAACCTCATGACTCGAGCCCTGCTTTGGGAAGCCACACCAAGATTTTTGTGGTTCTTTGTTGGTTGTGTGACTGACAAGCGCCCTCAAAACCTTGGGCAGCACCAAGGAAGCCGAGGGCCAGGAGCAGCCCGGTGGTCATTGTTGCCTGCTGCCAGGTAACTCCTGCCTTGCGATGCCCTTCCAAATGCCCTCTCACGGCCCGGCTCGGCTCTGGCCCGCTCCAGGCGGGTTCCCACAATGGAACTGGTCCTCCTCTTCTTCTGCCTGACTTTTCCTAGCAGGACGTTCTCCTACAGGGAGCGTGTTGTTCTCCCGACGCGAGAACAGCCTCAATAGTTTTGCTTCCAAAACTATTTTTTTAAAAAAAGACCTTTCCCTGCTGCTCCAACCAATGCCAAGCAGCTGAATTTACTTGACTTGCTAAGTTCCCACAATGCCCCCAACAGAAAGCCAGTGTGGTGTAGTGGTTAAGAGCATGGGACTGGGACTCAGAGGATCTGGGTTCGAGTCCCCGCTCGGCCATGGAGCCAACTGGGTGACTTTGGGCCAGTCACAGTCTCTCAGCCCAACCTACCTCACAGGGTTGTTGTTGTGGGGATAAGATGGAGGAGGAGAGATAATGTAAGCTGCCTTGAGCCCTTTGTAGGAAAAAGGCAGGATATAAATAAAAAAAAAATAAAATAAAATAAAAAAGCCTTCTGGGAAATCAAAATGGTGGCTAGACTCAAGTAGCTCCACAGCGCTTGGAGCATTATGCCTCCCCCACCAGGAGCCATGGACGGAGGATGGACTCCACCAGGGGGAACCTTTGTCCGGGTTCTCCAGAATCCATGCCGTCTTATAAATACCACAGGCTTCGAGTGACTCAGAGAAGGGGGGACAGTCAACCCGCAGGAAGGGCGGCATGCTGGTGCGTCTGGAACCGTGCCATCGCCTCGCCGGGCCAAGCGCATTGCCACAGCAGTGTCTGAACATGGTGCCATTGCCATCGTTCTGGGCCCAGGCCGAGACATTTTTATTTGCTCAGGCATTCGCCCCTGCTGGGTTTATAGAAACACAGAAACAGAGCGAGTCAGAAGGGGCCTCCCGGGCCATCTAGTCTGACCCCCGGCTCCAGCCAGCTCTGCTCACGTGCGTCGCTTCTCAGCTTAACTGCTTGCAGAAATGTGGTTTCAGTTGTTTCCTTTTATGATTATCGTTTTTATATCTTGTGGGAAGCCGTCTGGAGGAAGGGCAGACGAGAAAGGGCTTGCCGGGAGGAGAATGCTTTAGCTAAACCCTCCCTCGCCTCCCCCTGCAAAGCTTCTAGAATGTGTCCGTGTCGTCATTCCCACTGCAGGAGACCCTGCTGGCGACAGAGGAGACGGGGCCCAAGCTGCAGGCCTCTGTCCCCGCTGATTTATTTTTAAATTCAAATCACACAGTGCTGGTTCTTATGTAGTTCAAAACAGGATTGTACACACACGAAACGGGTGTTTGCATGCTTGGGAAACCCCCAGATTGCAGAAGCAAAAACACACCTTTACTGGACGGTGGGGAAGAAGGAAAAAGCAAACCAGGACTTTGCACAGCCAGCGGCCTTCGGAGACAGATGATTAAAAAAAAATCCAGGCCAGCGTCATCAAAATGTGTTAATTGCATAAGCCCAGGAAAAAAGTAACATCACTCCCTGTGTTTAATAGCATTACAAGTGTGAGAAACATACGTTTCCTTTTTCCTTTTTTACATATATTGACAGATCATCAGACGGTTTTACGGAGTAATGACATCTGTTTCCAGAAAACTAATGGCCAACAGGAGAGTAAATACGTGTTTCCAAGTTACAGAATTCCACTTCTTCCATGCAGAATTTGAGTTCCCCCCATGCGGAGGACATAGCCCCAAGGTTTACAAAGCAAAAGCAAACCTTTCTGTGCCTCGGAGAGCATCTGTAAGACCTACCAGTGCGTTCCCAGCTTGCAAAATGTTCCTCAACATGGCACGGAAATGCTCGTCCGCCTCGCCCTCCTCGGCTTCGCTCTCGGTCTCCTGGGTTTCGCTCTCGCTGTCGTTTTCGTCAGAACTGTCTTCACCAGAAGAGCTCTCGCCGCCGGCATTGTCTGTGCTCTGCTGAGAAGGGGGGAAATTCAGTTTTCCTCTGCTCAGACTTTCTTTGGCCCCAACTTTCTGAGGAGGATGCTGAAGCAAAAGCTGGGGATAGGATTCCATACTGTTTATCACTGAGCTGGTTTGCACATAATGGCAAATGATGGGTTAATTAAATTGTACATTTAATTGTAAATGCAATTAATTAACCCGCCATTTGCTAGGCACGAGTGGAATTAACCCGCCCTTTGCCCACGCTGCTTCTGCCATGTGCTGCCTTCGATTTCCATTTTGCATCCTAAGATGGTCCCCCTTATCCAATCAGATAAAACAGGAATATACAACAAAACACGAATATAACCATTTTAAAATCCAAGAGCCTAACAAATAAAACCATGGCAATGTCCAGCCATATTAACATGAAAGGCAGAACCACAATCTATAGTCAGAGATAAAATTTAAAACCATTAAAATAGTTAAGAGACCCAGAAAATAAAAAGGGGGGGATGCCAGGTGAGCCTCTCTGAGGTGTTTAACCATCTCCAGATTAAAAGAGATCAGGTAGCAGGTGATGGGAAAGACCTTTCTTGGCTTGCAAGGGCAATCTGGTAGCTGTTCATCAAACGCATCTGCTTCTATTCCGGGCTGCCTGGGATACACACGGTTCATCATTTCAAAGCTGTTCCTCCCACCAAATGTGCCAAGAAGAAGCCAGACCAATTTCTTTTGGGCAGAGAAGTATCCTGCGTCTGCAGCCCTCAGATGAGGAAGGCTCACACACACACCCCTGCCTTGCTGCAGAAAGGTTTTCTTTGCAACACCATTTGGAAGGAAGAAGAGAAAGCAAGCCTTGGACAACCATGCGTGCGAATAGATATGCTTTCACATTACGTGCTTCCTCTTTCTGTGCTTTCTCCTGCTTTGGGTCATATTTGCAATGTTTTTAAAAAAATCAAAGTGTCCAACAGTATCACACTGAAAATTAACTATGGTTATGTGTGATATCTGGACAGACAAACCACAGTTGGCCCTGCGATTTTGCCTCAGAGGAAAACGAAAACCAAAAACCTAAAGCAGCTCTGAACTACTTTGGGGTACATTTGTCCACACGACCTTCTTGCCAAGCAAACCAGGCAGGGTCTTCTCGGTGGTAGCTCCTTGATTATGGAATTCCTCTCAGTAAGGTTAGACTGGATGCAAGCCTGGTGACATTTAGGTATGCAACAAACACTTTTTAAAAGTTCTACCTGGTTTTTAGAGGTTTTTAATTTGAAATGGAGGTTTTTAACTCTGCATTTCTGGTTTTGATGCTCTGTTTTAATTCCATAACTGAGGGATTTTTTGTTTTGCCAGTTCTTTTTGTAAACCCTTTTTGGGTGCTTGGTTCAGCCAGAAAGGCAATACAGACATATCTTTAAAGGTAACATAAATATCTTTCGAATTAGAAAATAACTGGGATGATCAGCTAAAAAATGGCCATTCCACACATTTACTCGGTTTATGAATCATGTTTACAAAATCCACCCCGGAAAGCAAGCTGAGGTGTTTCTGGCATTAGCATAGGAGTGGGACAGGATTTACCACTTCTCTCGGCAAAGGTTTGTGCTTCTTTTGTGTTTCTTCCATCACCACAACTGCACCTTCCTCATCCTGGTCTTGACGTGGGTCCAGGACCTTGGAGAGAATTTTAAAAATACGTATAAGTACACAAAAGAGCACAAAAGAGCCCAGGAGGATCAAACCAAAGGTCCATGTGCTGCATCGTTCGGTTCACACGGTGGCCAGCCCACGGGAAAGGACAGCAGGCGCCTCAAGTGCACACTCCTACCCATGTTCCCCAGCAACTGGTATTTAAAGACATATTGTCCCTGATACCAGAAGCAGGATTGAGTCATCAGCCTCTGTAGCCCTGGACAGCCACCGCCTCCATCCATTTGCCCAATCCGATTTCAAATTTTGCTCCTGAACCTCCTACCTATCTGCCTTGTGGGAAGGGCCCTTTTCGTTCTAGCGTCAGGAGGGAGAGTGAGAAATGCCAGGCTTAATTCTGTACTCCTTTATTGCTTGACTTTTCCCCACGCTAAACTATTCCAGATGTTTCAACCCTTCCTCACAGTGGAGTTTCTCTAACGCCTCGATCATTTTGGCTGCCCTTCTCTGCCCGTTTTCCAACACTCCATTTCCTTTTTAGGTGCGGTAGTGAGAACTGTACCCATGTTCCACATCTGGCTCACCACAGGGGACCACAACCCTCCTCATTACGTCAAACGTGGAGTCCACCAGTTTTACAGTATTGGCCCACCAGAACCCCAAAATCTCTTCTTTGAGCTCAGATCTCATCGGCTTATACCGGAAGTTGAGCTTTCTGCCCCAGCGTGTGACACTTTACACTTGCTTACAATGTCTTGTACTTTCCATATATTTCTCGGTGATCAGAACAGCTTTAAAACCTTCCCTGAAGGTGCTATCTGAAAGTGCGTGCTTCCTGCGGATCGCGCTCGTTCCACGGGGGAACGTCGTTCTCCGAATGTGTGTCCATTCTGACAGCCGGGCTATTGTCCAAACCGGGACTGCAAACTGGTGGGATCCATGTTGTTCTTTCCGAGAAACCTCAAGGAGCACCAACTGGAGGCAGTTGCAAAGTGCTGGCAAAGCAGGGAAAATACTGATGCGCCATGCCCAGTCCAGGACAGAGACAGGAATGCCGGGAGAAGACGGACAAAACATCAGGGAGGATGGGTTTTCCCAACATTTTCCAGCTTTATCTGAGCATTCATGTCTCTAAAAATTCACACAGGAATACATCTCCCTCCAAATCTTTTCCTACCTCAACAGTCAAATTTTATGGAGCAAGAGAAGAATTTTTGTTGCTACCACTGCAAATCACGAAACCCTGATCTTCTGCAACTCTTCCAGAGACCACCAAGAGATTGTGACCTACTTTCCATCCCTTATTTAAACAAAAGTATGTTCTCCTCTGATGAATCCATATGCAAATTTATGCAGATTCAATCATTCATCAGCTAAGGGGCCTTGCAAGATTTCTGACAGGTCACGTCCTCACGGGGGTCTCGCTCAGCAGCCTCCACTCACGTCCAAGATGAGCTGCAAGGCGCCCTTCGTCATGTGCTGCGAAACGAGTCCGAACACGCTCCTGCAAACCCGTCGGATCAGCCCGCTGGACTGGGCCAGGAGAGAGAGGAGAACTTCCACGATCACCTCCACCCAGTCAGGCTCTTCCTCGCCGCCTGCGCAGAGCAAAAACAGCGGACAGAATGTGAGCTTGTGGCGCAACCAGCCCAGCGGCAGGAACAAACGGGATGGCGTGACTTGGTGTCCTGCGACAGCGGGGGGGGGGGGACCGAGTGGCCTTCATGGCCCCCTCCAACTCTACTATTCTGTGATTCTATGATCCAGGGGGTTGGACCCAGTGGCCTGCATGGCCCCTTCCAACTCTGCTATTCCATGAGTCTATGAAAAAAGGGCCAGGCTGGCAACCTCATATAAAGAAAACCCGTATAACATGTTTTATAGATGGTATCTGTCGCCAAATAGGTTAGGTAAGATGTTTCCAAATATGTCAAATGGATGTTGGAAATGCGAACATAAACTGGGTACCTTTTATCATATGTGGTGGACTTGTGATAAGGCAAAAAAATATTGGGCTAAAATACATAAATGGCATGAGGGAATGTTACAAAAACCTTTAATATTTAAACCTGAAGTTTTCTTATTAGGCATTGTATCTGATGGTGTTGATAACCAAGCAATGTATTTGACTCTACATATAACTACTGCGGCGAGGATTGCATTTGCCCAACATTGGAGGAGTGAAGAACCACCTACGGATGAACTGATTTTAAAAAACATCTTGGACTGTGCCGAAACGGACAGATTGACTTTGTCTCTGAAGGAGAAAGAGGACGCAGACTTCTATCAAACTTGGAACTCTTTTTATTATTGGCTAGAGAAACGGGACTATGCATAGATCTAAATATGTTTACAGATTGCTATAAAAAAAAAACCTGTGGGGGGCTGACCCAGTAGGTCTGATGTTTCTGATGACTGATGTTTTTTAGTTTCTTTTTGTTAGTTGGTAGAAAAATAAAAATAAAACTTGCTTTAAAAAAAAAAAGAGGCATGCTGGATCGGAAAGGGATCCCGCAGTGGCCAACCAGTTGCACCAGTGGGAAGGCCACAAAGAGGGCAGGAACGTAATGTAATTCTTTTCCTCCCCATGTTCCCCAGCAGCTCGCCTGTGCGACACCCGGCACTCAGAAAAGTCCTCCTAACCGTTTCCAGGACGCTGAGTTTTATTTTACATTGCTGCATTGTTCATCCATCCCAAGACTTCTGTAAGGGACGGTCTAAAAAAGATTTAGAATAGTAGCCACGGATAGCCTCCTCCTGAAAGAAGCCTCTAGTTCCCTCTTAAAGCCATCCTGGTTGGCAGCCACCTTGTGGCAGGGAGTTCCATTGCTTAGCCTGGCTCTCCAGGATGCTGGACATCTTGGATACGCTGCCCTGACTTTCCCACCATCCCGTTTGGGATGGAGACTCACCAGCTGTGGCCGTTGGCTTCTTCTTGGGTTTCTCGCCGAAGGCCCTCTTGGTGCAATTCTGGAGGTCGTTGAGGAGGTTCACACACTCAGCAGGTGACTAGTCATGGGTGAGGTGAGGAGGAAAGGCAGGCAGTGGGGAGGGGCACGGGATGGGAGGGCAAAGGCAAAAAGAAAAGAAAAGGCGGTCAAAACAGTTTTACCTGTGGATACTAAGTTTTCTAGAAGGAGCTCCAGCCTGCTTCCTCTTCTCCATACTATGCTCACAGAAGGCTTTTCATCCACTCACCAGACAAATGGTTCCTGTTTTGGAACTGCATTTAAATTTCCATACCATTTTTGTAAAAGTATTGCGATGATTTACAAATTGTATGGCCCACATATCTGTCCAAGGACAGGTGGATGGGAGGGTATTTGCATGCACATTTGAATTCTCTCTTCCCACGCACAGGGAGCAAAACCTCCTGTCGCAGGGAACTCGGGAGACCGGTAGGGCCAAAGAGCTTGCTGAGAAGGGCTCTCCGCTTGCTCACAGTGTGATGTCCCACTGTTTTTCCCAGAAAAGACGGGAAATCGCTGTAGGAACGCAGCAAACTCTCCTGTCCTACCCAAAAGTTCTCCCTGACCTTTCATAATCACGGTTCTTGTCGTAACTGCGTTCTGATTCCCACCAAGACGGTGCTTCTGCTGAGCGGAGAGTTACCTTGAAGAGGTGAATGCCGACCAGGAGCAGCAAATGCTGGAAGGCCGAGGTCTTCAGGTGCGGGCTCTTCTGCTCTCGCCGCCGCAGCGCTTCCACCGTCTGCAGCATCCTGTGATGGGGAACAGGTAAGACCAAGCTGTGGCAGATGGACATTCATTGAATGTCTCCCATAACACTGGCCAAGTCCAAAATGCCCCCATGCCTGGAGTTTCTGTCTGAACTCTCATCCAAAAACCAGTGGGAATTCTTCTGATAAAGCATTTCTTCCAAGAATTTCAGTTTCAGGTGGTTCAGTTTATAAATCTTGCCACCACAACCAGGTTTAACTCTAGTTCTCACTTTTATTTCTTACTGCCGTCTTAACTATTTAAATGTTTGCACTGTATTTTATGTTTTAAATTATTGTGAACCACAGAGAGAACTTCAGCTATGCTGTGGGATAAAATTCTGATCAATTGAAAAAGCCCTGCGGAGAGAGAAAAGTTAAATACGGCTAGTTTGGGAAGAGCCAGAAGGAAATGAACCCACTGCAAATTCCTCCAGGAAGCCCCCCGTCACTGAGAGAGCCAACCCGTGTCTGACCCTTGAGAAGCTGAATGTTTATATGAAACACAGACCCACACAACTCTCTGCTCATAGAAAGCCAGCATGTCAAGGACATGGGTTCTAGCCTAGCTATTCCTGAAATGCTACTTTTCTCTGTGCAGGGATCTGATGCATGCGTATCGGTGTGGTGGAGCATCCAGCCACCTCCTCCTGTGCGCCCCTGATGCACATGCCCACAGGAAGGAGTGCTCCAAGCCCAGCTCCGCTGCAGCTGCTGCCTGCAAAAGCAACGTGTCCATGCAAGCCAGAAATGTTTGTGGCTGGCTGCGATTCCGTGAGCTGCTCTTACCGGTCCCAGGCAAATTGTTCTTCCTCGCTAAACGGCGCCACCGCCTTGACATGCTCTGGGTGCGAGAGCAGAACATTGGCATACTGGACAGCGAGGTAGATCCAGGAGTCACCACAGGCAGTCAGTCCGTGTTGGTGCTTCTTCCGCATTTCTTCGGCTTGCTCCGAGTCGCCCAGGGCGGGCATCGCGTTCACGTGCTGAAGCAGACTGGCGAGAGAGCAGTGAACAAGCAGTGGGTCTGCTTTACGCTTGCGCTTCAGATGAAGAGAGGCGGACTCGGTTGTTAAGATTTATATCCCGCTTTTTCTTGCAACGGACTCAAAGCAGCTCACAACATTCTCTTCCTCCTGGTCTCCACTGCATTACCACAACAGCCCTGTGAGGTAGGCTGGGCTGAGAGTCTGTGACTGGCCTAAAGCTAGCCAGCTAGTGACTGGGGATTCGAAGCTGGAATGCTTGAATCCCGGTCCTGTGCTCTTAACCACTATACCGCACTGCCTCTCCCACTAGTATCGACCTGGTGGTCATTAAAAATATTTTAATTACCAAAGCAGGGGCCCTCCAGCATGCCAGGACAGCGTTTCTCCAGGAGAACAGCAAAGGTTGGGCCTGGCCCAGCCTCTTCCCATCCGGATGGGCTGGACTCCAACTCTCATTAGTCACAACCAGCCGCGCCAGCTGGGAATTATGGGAGTTGCGTTATGCAAAAAGCTGCGAAAACACTTCTCCCCAAGTTAAATAGCGAAGACTGCCAACAGGGTGAGGCGATGCCTTTGTTTATTGCAACTGATGAGTAGAGCCTGCTCTGCCAGACTCTCTCCCAAGTACAGACACCCCAAACAGCTCCTTTTACCCCTCCGCCCATCTGCCACAGTCCTCCCCTTTGGGTAAGGTACTAGGAGGTTGTGGTCTTTCCATCCGCCTACCACAAACCTCCCATCTCATCCCACTACATATATCGACATACATCACATGTGCATTATAATTACCCCATTGTCTATTTGGGGCATGTGAGTTAATATTCATCAACCTATTACGCCTGCCTGCTTAGAACTGCAAATTCACTAGTTCGCCCCTCCCTGGCTTCCCCTTGCCCTATGACTCCCCCCATCCCATAAAACTACTGGGAGGCTGAGATAGGAAGTGGCACACTTTCTTCCAAGCCAATTATCTTTTTCTCCCCTCCTCATTCCTCCAGGCAGGCTTCAGGGCTCGGTTGTTTGCTCCCCCCCGCCCCCCGTTTCTCCATCCCTGAGTGACTTCCTTCAGTTGCAATCCAGCCTGCCCAGCCTCAGGCAGGACGGGAATTTTCTGCATGAAGAGCATGTCCTGCCCTTGATCCTGCTCTCCATTTTATTCTCACAACAACCCTGTGAGGTAGACTAGGCCGAGAGCAAGTGAGTGGCCCAAATCCCCCAGCGAGCTTCCGGGCGGAGCAGGGACTACATCCCGGAGTCCCACTCGTCACCACTGAGCGTCTCCGGCTGCAGCCGTGAGCAGACCTCGAAATGGCTGGAATTGTTTGTTTTGTTCATTTTTCTTGGAAGGATAAAATCCAGGTGCTTGTGCATCCTGGGCACGCAAGAAATGGGAGGGCAGCACTCGGCCTTAGTCCAGGCTCAAAGCTCAAAGCTTTTTATGGACTGACAGATTAAAAGCTTTTATTGAGCTGGCGAACTGCAGGGTGTCCCCCAGCGCCGGTTCCTCCGGCCGGCCAGCTCCGGGAGCCCCGTTCAGCTCATCGCTCGGTCGAGCCAAGCTGAGAGTCGGTACCTGAAAAACGAGTCCGCAGCCGCCACGCGGGATGCCTCGCTCAGAGGCACGGATGGGCTGGAGCTCGTCTCGGCGATCTTCAGGAGCGGTTTCTTGGTCTCAAAGAAAGCATGGAAGAAGCAAAACCTGGGCACAAAAGACACAGATGTCTCAATGCAGGCTGTTGACAGAAAGCAAAATTCCCAAGGCTCGGGCGAGTCCGTGCCTAGGCAACACCCAGGGGCTGGCCCAATTGTGGCCCCCCGACTCCCATGATCCTTTGCCACTGGCTATGCTGCTCAGAGATGCTGGGAGGTGGATGTCAAAACTTCCAGAGGGCACACATTCTGCCCATGCTCTGGCCACTTGGATTAGATTCTAGCTATTACAACCTCAAATATGCCAGCCTCCATTTGAAATATGCCAGCCTCCAAGTTTCTAGCCCTCATGCTTGCAGTAAATAAACATTCATTTATTTAATTCGTTTTTCTACTGCACAATAGCTGAAGCTTGCTGGGTAGTGCGCAACAATTAAGAAAACACACAAAGCCCACAATACAATAAAAAGCAATCAACCTTCCAGGCAATAAACAAAATTTAGAACAATTTAAGTTATTAAAATAACTAGACTAACATCAAAGCTTTGGAGAAAAGAACTTAACCCAGCACTGAAAATAGAGCAGAACTGATGCCAGGCAGCACTCCCTGGGAGCTACAGTCCTCAGGTGGTTTAAAAAGCACAGAAAATAAGAAAGTGCTTTTATTCATATCCCAACCTTCCTCCAAAGACTGCCGCCAGTGTGGTGTAGTGGTTGGGCTGGGGTCCAGAAGATCTAGGCTCTGGTCCCCACTCAGCCATGAAGCCCACTGGGCGCCTCTGGGCCAGGCCCTGTCTCTCAGCTAGTCTACCTGGCAGGGTTGTTGTGAAGATGACGTGGAGAGAGGCCCACCCATGCAAGCCATCTTAGGACACTCGCAAGAGGTGGGGAAAAGACAGGATGCAAGTGCAACGAGAAAAAAATCACAGGGCAACTAGCTGCAAAATTCAGAATAAAAACAACCCATTAAAGTCACGTAAGAGCAGATCAATTAAAAGCGAGCGAGAAAAGAAGGTAAGTAGCACCAACCGACTTAAAGACCCCGTTGGCAACATATTCTTGCCTCTTACCTGATGATATCCGTAATGAACTCCTCTTCCTTCGTTATTTGTGGATTCTCAACGATCCCAACGAGATGGGCAGTAATCCATTTCCTCAGCCGCGTTATACAGTGTCCGGCCAGTTCGCTGCATCGACAGAAAGAAATGAGGAGCTAAAGCCGACACTCGCCTTGCCTCCCACTGGAATCAAACAGGGGACTCGCTCTGTCTGCCCCGTTTGACTTCTGATTTTATGCCAACAAGGATGCACTTCCAGCTACTGCTGTGTGGAGGGGAAATAGTACTTTCTCCCAGGAGCAAGAAGGGCAGGATGGAAATGCAACGGAAGGAAAAGAAAGCCACCGCAACGGAGGGGAATTTAACCGAACCCCATCCTCATGTAACAGGAGGAGGAGGGCTAGCCTAGAATAAATCCAGAAAGACCCCGGCACACTGAATGCACCCCCTGGAGTGGCTTCACAGAGCGGCACCGGCTCCCACACGGGAGCCTCGCCAAAGCATGCGAGGAAAGCCCCCCGGGCCGGACTCCACACTCACTCGTGCTTCTTCTCGTTCTCTTGCTGCCGCTTGGTGGCAAAATCCAGGCATCGGTCCAGATCCGGGCTGAGGAACGTGCTCTTCAGCCAGTCGATGTACTGCAGCAACGCGGAGGGGAGCAAGTGCCGCAACGCCTTCCAGAAGGTCGGCACGACCGGACAGCCCCGGTTGGTGAGGCTGGAGAAGCCGGCAACCACCGCCAGCTGCTTCTGGGGATCGCCGCATCCCTCCAGGAATGAGCCGACGTAGGCTTCCATCTCGGGGGCAAACTGAAACCTACCGGGCAGCTGAAAGAGCGGAGCAGGAGAAGAGGCCCAGTTCAGCGGCGGGGAAGGCCCTAGACTGTATCCCTGCGAGGCCCGGGAGAGCCAGGCTGAGAAAGAAAAATGCTTCCACGAGACGGGGACGCAAATTGCTCTCCGAGCGCAGACGAGCCTCCTTCCGCCCTGGGCCCCACACAGGGCAGGTTTTTATCTGAAGTCAAACGGTCTGCAGATCTGTGGTCACCTACCTTGTTTGACACGATGTGGATTCCGTACTGACGCATAACTTCTCCTCGGAGAACCGTTTTCAGCTGGCGGAGAGACAGCAGCGGGAGGACAGTGCCCAGCAGCCGGAAGCACATATAACTAAGGGAACGCGGAGAGCGGAGTGAGGCGGAGGCAAAATGCAGCAGAACAGCAAAGGGCAAACAAGTCAATCAGGCTGGGTCCAGGCTGGAATTTGTTTCTGATGCCGGAGGCAGTACAGACATGCCGGTGAGACAATGCTTTTTTTTGTAGGAAGGCAGGTAGTTAGAGCCCTGAATTAGGACAAGATCGAGCTGGGTTCAGATCCCTACTTAGCCATGAAGCTCACTGGGTGAACTTAGGCCAATCATTAAGTCGGAGCTTAGTCTACCTTGCAGGGTTGTTGTGAGATTAAAAAGGGAAGGGAGGGGGAGAACCACCCAGATCCTTGGAAGAAAGGTGAGATAAAAATGAAAAATGTACCTTAGCAGGCCATTGTTCCTGACTTTGTGGCCACGCTGCTGAGTTTATTCTCTCAGCCCCACACCAATATTTATATTTTACAACTAATCAGTTCTCCTTGTATCTGTGGACTGGGAAGCTAAATTGTAGCACTGCTAAGAAAGGAAATCTAGGACCTCTTTGAACCAGCCCTTTAAAGGAAACTTTGAATCAGAAAAGTGTGTGGATTTTTTTCTGCCCCCCTAATTTTCTTAAACAATTTGAGATTGGCAAGGAAGGGATTCCTTATAAACTTATAAGGAACTTCCAGTTCCCCAAAATATTATTTTCATTTCTAAAAGAGGTAAAAAGGACATCAACTCGGAGTAGGGCCTTCTCAGACTCTGGCACGTGCTCCCCAGTGAGGTACGTCTGGCGCCGAGCTTATACTCCTTTCGGCGCCAGGCCAAAACCTTTTTATTTAAGCGGCATTTTAAAAGTTAATCGTTTCATGATCCTACCAGTCACTTTTGCTTTGTTCTATTCTGATTTAATTTGATTAATTTGATGTTTGTTTATTGTTCCATATGGCGCTACTGTTTTAATTTTGTGGATGATTTTATTAATGTTTTAAATTGTTTTTAAATTGCTATAAGCCGTCCTGAGAGACTTATATAAAGGACGGCATACAAAAAGCTTTTAATAAATAAATTTAATTTTAATAAATAATTCCTGGACCATGCCAGTTCCATGGGGTTCAAGAAACGGTGGAAGAGGAGAGACAGAAAGGTCATTGCGAAGGAGGCAGGCAGATTAAAGTTCCCCCACAAACCTGCAAGGTCCGCTCTTATCTTGCATCAGCTCCTTTTCGACAGCCTCATTCCAGAAGAGCTCAAAGGTCCCTTCCTTGAGGGCGACCTTCATCAAGTCCAGCCCGACGGTCGGGAGGGCTCTGTCCTTCTTCTCAGACTTTGCAGCCATTTTCAAAACCTCCACCAGCCTACAGAGGAGAGCAAAACGAAAAATATCACACACACCTTTTAAAACGATCTGTACCCTCTCCTGGCTCACAGGCAAGAAATGCTACCGTAAGCAACGGGACTGTATGGCGGAATCAGATGCTCAGAGACGAACTGAGCGATTTGGGCAGGGGTCTTTCCGCAGCGCACCTGGGAAGCGATGAAGCTGCACTCTTCCATGTATGGTTGGACAGAGAAAAGGCCTGCAGGTCTTCTCGGAGGTCATGCCTTTATTTCTTGTCTCGGACAACCTTTGGCTTGTGTCTGGCTTCCAAACCAGAGCAATTTATTTATTTACTTACTTACTTACAAAATTTGTATGCTGTCCAATTACTAATGTCTCTGGACAGCTAACAACATAAATAAATTGATGACCCACTCTGGCTGCAATTAATAAAATACAATTCACACTGGAAGGGGAGGGTAAGGGGCTAGAGAGGACGGCCAGTCAGGGCCCAAGGATGCAAACAAAGCTTTTCTACCACGGAAAAGCAGAAACGTTCTGCTTGCAGGTCACATGCTTTGGCAAGTAGCTAGACCAGCCCCAAACCCCCAGCCAGTCCTGCATTTCACCAGGTTTTTGTTTTGTTTTGTTTAAGGCTATCTAGTACCTGTTAATGATTGGTGAGTTTCTGGCATTTAAGTTCTGCCTTTCCTGAGGTGCCCATGGTAGCATGCATTTTATTTTCACAACAACCTTGCGAAGTAGGTTAGCCTGAGGTGCTGATTGGTCCAATGGCACCCGGTGGACTTCATGGCTGAGTGGAACCTGTATCCCCCACAATGAATCATTCAGCAGCTTACATAATTCTTTGCCTCTCCCTCTTATCCTCACAACAACCCTGTGAGGTAGGGGATAGGCTGAGTTAGTGACTGATTCGAAGCCACCTAGTGAACGTCTCGGCCAGGTGGGGTCCAGAACCCAAATCTCCCAAGTTCCAGTCTAATGCTCTAACCACTAGGCCGCACTGGTTAGCACAGCATTTTCAGTAGAGGAAAAGCACAACTGGAGAAACATCCTAGAACTCTCCCTTTCCATGCTTCATTACAGCTGAAAAGCAACATGGCTCTGGGTGTCCATACCTGGGAATGATTTTTGCTGTAACGACAGCAGGTGAGCCCAGGAGGACCTTCAGTTTTTCTGGCCGGAGGACTCTGGGGAATTTCTGGATGCCCACCAGCAAAAGGTACAGCTGCCCCGGAGTGCTGAAGGCCGAAGTCAGATCTTCCTCCAAGATGTTGAACAGGACCTCTTCAAACACGGTTTCTGGAATCTGAGAAGGGCAAAACAATGGGAAAACCTCTCCGGTTTTGCACTGCACATCGGCCCCAAACGTTGGCTGGGCAAATGTTGGGTTTCCTTCCCTGCAAGTCTATCCATCTTCCTTCTCCAGGGAGGATGCTGCCAATTGGCTTACAAATGTCCCACGTCACTTATCTGGAAACAGCAGGAATTACTCCTGGCAAATACAGCGGGTCGTTCGACACCCTTGGCCATTCTGAACAGGACAAGTCTCAAAGAAAACACGTTTCCAAGAGGCTTCCGGCCGGCAGCTTCCCAGCAGCTGCTTACCTCGGAGACGATGTCAGCCAACGTCTTCCTCGGGAGATCTTTCAGGTGGACATGGTGCTCGGAAAGACCCTGAAGAAGCTGCACGCACCGGAGGAGCGCCTTCGCATCCTACAAAGTCCCAAGGAGAGAGTGAGGCCACTGACGCGGGGAAGGGCCATCGCGCTGGTGGGGAAGGCATCTGGGGAACCCCCCGTGGTCCCAGAGCCAGGCTAGCGGGACGGGCCGAGGTCACCGGTTGTGCAGTGAGAGAGCACGCACTAGTGATGCAGAAAGGCCGATGCTCAACAGGGATAGCAGTGCTGCTGTGACGGGCAGAACGTCCTTGGCACAATTATCGAGGAACCAAGACAACTGCAACTCACCAGGGATCCCAACTGGGGATTTCCCATAAGCCCCCCTTCCCCTGGCTCCCTCCCTCCCTTTCCCTGACCATCACCAGCTGGGTGGTTTCCTGGCTTTCGTGCCTTCGTGCCCACCACCCGCTTCTAAAGGGAGATACCGCTTTCTTAAACAGTATTATTATTACATTTGTATCCCGCTTTCCCTCCTCGTACAAGGTGGCTTACAAGCTTTTCTTCCTCTGTGCTGAATCCTCACAACAGCCCTGTGAGGTCGGTGAGGCTGAGCGTGCCTGGCCCAAAGACACGCAAGAAGCAGCGAGCCAGGTCTTGCGAGTCCCAGCCCAACACCTGAACCTCTACACCAGACTGGTTTCCTAAGGCTCAGTTACTGGGAATAAGACTTTTCAGCAAACATGGGCAAGCATTTGGGCCCTGCCTGTTGTCTGCCTTCACACTCCACTGGAACTTCTTGAACAAATTCTCAAAATCAGAATCTGGTGCTTCAGCCAAAAAGCATTCAGCTTTCCAAGTCTCTGATTTCTGATGCTGGTTTGTTCTGATTGCACTGGTTGGCTTGAAGATCATTTCAGCCCGGTCCCTAAGAAACCACCAAGACCTAATCAAAGCCTTGGTGATTGCGGAGCTGGATGCATGATTGGTCAATCTTTGGGTGAAGAAACAAATGTTTAGGGCAGCTTTGATTATTGGTCAGTGGACAACACTGATTAGGTTTTGAAATAAGCAGTGCAATCTTCTTTCACTGGGAAGGAATCTACTTTTGCAAAGCTGAATTTTTAAAAGTGTGCACCCACAGGTGTAAGAGTATGACTTGACCAATGAAATAGTAATAAATTCATAAATTATAGACTAAAAAGCAATACAGGAAAATCCTGTTGAACAATAATGGGATAATTATTTTTAGTTCTTTTGCTTTAATTATATAGCTTCTTGAAGGAAATATTTCAAAATTCTAAAAGAGGCAGAAAGTTTCTAGTCCTTATGGAAATCAAGATAGACTTGAGAGCATTTCAGCAACTCCTGAAAAATACCCAGTGACTGGAAAAAAAAGTGCTTGTAAGGCCTTCCAGGCAGCAAATTATATTATGCAAAATGTAGTTCATTTGTATAATTTATGAAGGACTGAGAATTCAACTTTCGCTTGTGCTTTCTTTCTACAGGCCTGAACAAAACAGCGGCAGGTAGCATTACCTTTGCAAGGCGTCCAGATTGGAACAGAGCCAGAACCCCAAAAAAGTTTCCAAACAGAGCATTTCTGAAGAGTTTCTGAAACAAGACAGAGTTCAGCACAGAAGATGCAATTAGTTACTCCAATATCCCGCACCAGGTGCTACCAACACGTCTGTGAAGGCCAAGCCAGAGATTCCAGAACAATAAACTGGCCTGCAGAGCTGCTTCCATGCCTGAAATTCTCCTGTTTATGGTGGCCAGGTATGCCAAGCTGCAGCTTGCTGCTGTGTCTTACCTTTTTTACTCTGGCTAAGTCATATTTTTCCGTGAACTGTTCCAGGACTGTGAAGAGGGGAATGGTCTCAAAACCTTGCAATACCTGGAAGGGAAAAAGGAGCAGGGAAAGAAACATCATGGGGCCATCATCTCAGTCTACCTGTGGAACCTGGAAGAAGACAAAAATATTTTCTAGTCCAGCCCCTCATCACCTCTTCCCAAGACTCGGCGATCTTTTCATCCTGGGACTTGCCTTCAGGACTTTTCTCTGCCGCCACAACTGCGTACTTCTTTCGCTGCTCTGCTTATGTTACCTCCCTCCCCAAATTCCTGTAACTGCCACCCTGGCAGGGGATACTGGGAGTTGTGGTTGAACCCCTCTGAAAGGCTTCAGGCTCAGGAGGTCTCCCTCACTGCCCTGTAGGTCATAATCAAAACTAACCTGTAAGAACTGCACATTTCCCCCCTAAGGTGCCATTTACCCTTCCCTCTGCTTACCTCTTCTTCATCTGTGGTCAAATGTAACACTGGCCTGGTTGTTTCTGTTTAGTCACCAAGTCGTGCCCAACCCTTCGCAACCCCATGGACGACATTCCTCCAGGCCTTCCTGTCCCCCACCATCCCCCGGAGTCCACCCAAGCCCACACCCACCGCTCCAGTGACCCCATCCAGCCACCTCATCCTCTGCCACCCCCTTCTCCTTTTGCCTTCAGTTGTTCCCAGCATCAGGCTCTTCTCCTGTGAGTCCTTCCTTCTCATTAGGTGGCCAAAGCATTTGAGTTTCATCTTCAGCACCTGGCCTTCCAAAGAGCAGTCAGGGCTGATCTCCTCTAGGACTGACCGGTTTGATCGCCTTGCGGTCCAAGGGACTCACAGAGTCTCCTCCAGCACCGCAATTCCAAGGCCTCAATCCTTCGGCACTCAGCCTTCCTTATGGTCCAGCTTTCACAACCATACATTGCAACTGGGAAAACCATAGCCTTGACTATACGCACTTTTGTCGGCAGGGTGATGTCTCTGCTTTGAAGGTTTTCATATTTAACTGACAGATTTTAAGGTTCAACTTTTCTATTTTTATGGTGCAAGTTTTAACGCCATGAGTCCCCTTCCATCTCCATTATGGGGAATAGGTGGGCCATCAATATAATAATGTTCATGATGCCTCATATTCATTCTCTTCAGGGGAACTGAAACATGCGAGGAGCAAAGCTGGGACCAGCTGCCTGATCTTTCTTGGAGCACTGCACCTGGAAAAAATACCTCTGGGGGAGACAGCATGGCCAGCAGCAATGCATCCTGCCTGCAAACAGGCCTGGGGAATACATCGTATTATTCCCATGCTGCAGATAGGAAAACTGAGGCTGACTGAGGATGGCTCGTCTAAGATTAACCACTCAGTTAATGGCAGAGGTGAGAATGGAACCAGGGACTTCTTGATTTGTAGTTAACCCTTTCAGCAACTACAAAATCTGAATCATGGAACACCAACCTGAGCCAATGCCAGGGTGAATCCTGGACGGGCGGCCTCTCGAGTTGCTCCCAATCCATCAATCAGGCGCTTCAGCGTGTATTTCAACAAATCTTCATTCTAAAGTAAGTTATCAAAATGGTTAGGGGAAGAGTGGGGGGGGTCACCTCCTCTGTATTTCCGAAGATTTCTAAACAGAAACAGAGATGCTTTCAACTTTGACAAAGTTTAGAAGAGAAGCAAGGAAAGATGACATGCACATGGTGGGCATGTCGTGAGCGGAGCCGGCTGGTGCCAGAGGTCAGACTAGATGGCCTGGGAGGCCCCTTCTGACTTGCTCTATTTCTATGTTTCTATGAAAATGCACCCATGCAATGAAATCCCTCTCCCCAAAATACAAATATTAAAGCTATTTGGAACCTGTCTGTAAATTAGAGGTCGCATATACTTTGTTGGAAAGTGCTACTGAAGGGGCTGCACTTCAAAACATCTGGAGATTCCCAGATGAACCTACAGGGTGTGGATTTAGAAACATAGAAACACAGAAACAGAGCGAGTCACAAGGGGTCTCCCGGGCCATCTAGTCTGACCTCCGGCACCAGTTGGCTCCGCTCACGACATGCCCACCATGTGGACGTCCAGCCTATCCTTGAACATCCTCGCCGATGGGACCTCAACCACCTCCCATGGAAGCCCATTCCACTCCCTCGGGGTCCTGACTGTCAGGAAGTGCTTCCTGGCATCCAAATTGAACCTGGGTTCCCTGAGCTTTGCTCCGTTGGAGCGCGTCCTGCCTTCCTCTGCAGGGGAGAAGAGGTCTCTACCCATCTCCATGTGACATCCCCTCACATACCTGCATGTTGCCAACAGATCCTCTCTGAGTCGCCTCTTCTCCAGGCAGAAGAGACCCAGTTCCCTCAGTCTCGCCTCATACAGCTTCCCCTGCAAACCAGCCACCAACCTTGTGGCCCTACGCTGCACTGACTCCAACCTGGCCAGATCCTTCCTGTAATGAGGGGCCCAAAACTGAGCACAATACTCCAGTTGCGGGTGCACCAGAGTCGTGTAGAGTGGTAGTAATACCTCTCTCGATCTAGAAGCCGCACTTCTGGCTATGCAGCCAAGGGTGGCACTTGCCCTCTTGGCCACCGCATCACCCTGCTGGCTCATGTTCAGCCTGCAGTCAATCAGCATCCCGAGGTCCCTTTCACAAGTGCTGCTCTCCAGCCACTTGTCCCCTAACCTGTACTTATGACACCCATTCCTGTACCCCAAGTGCAAGACCTGGCACTTATCCACATTGAATGCCATCCTGTTGTCTCCTGCCCACTTCCATAGTCTGTCCAGATCCTTTTGGATCTGGAGTACCTGCTCCTCAGTTGTGGCCACTGCTCCGGTTTTAGTGTCGTCTGCGAATTTGATCAGCAGACTGTTCACCCCTTCTTCCATGTCGTTAATGAAAAGATTAAACAGGATCGGCCCCAGGACAAGAGGCCTGGGGGACCCCGCTTGTCACTGGCTGCCGTCCCAGTGATTCCCCACTAATGGTTACCTTCTGCTTTCGGTCAGTCAACCATGCCCTAATCCACCGTACAGTGCTTTGGTGTATCCCATGATTTAGTCATTCCCCCGCAGCCAGTCCCAGAAGTGAACCTCTCCTTGCCAGTGGTGCGAAGGCTGCACTCTGCACATGCTCAGGAGTGTCATTCTCAACATCCACTTTACAGACTCCATCTCTCCCACAGGAATCAAGCACCAGGGAGGCACTGCTTTGCTATGCGCAACACAGCCCAAAACACAAGATCTGCCCCCCCACACCCCAATAAGCAAAACGGGGTCAGATTCTCACAGGTTATAAGAACAAGGATTCTTATGCCCTGAAGGTCCAGGGGCATCCAATATATTGAAGCTAAGCAGGTCTGGGGCTGGCCTGAGCTTGGAGGGGAGACCACCAGAAAACTGGATATAAAGATGATAATAACACTTTGCAATATTCCACTGGCCTCGTTCAGTCAGTTACTTGATTCGGGAAATCTCAGCCAAGCTATGCACTGAATTATAGGGCACCATCCCAGGCAGGTTTGGACCGCAAAAGCCCTACAGCCCGGCTTGTACCCCACCATGTTCTGTTTTGCTTATTTAACAGGTGACATCGGATTCACCTGCATCAGAGCAAAGCCAAGTTGTGAAGATGAAAAAGCACTTTCGTACAGGAGCAGAGAGGCAATAGAGGGATTTTGGACCAGTCCAAAGCTCCTTGTAAATGCGCCCTGTCAGCTCCCATTCCGCCCCAGGACCCTAGTTTTCCACTCCAGCGTGGCACTTCTGGAACCCCTGGAAACGATACGGGGCAAGCGAGCCTCTGAGCGCGTCCAGAGGACGCTCGCAGGGATCGCGACCCGAACAGCTCCCGATCGTCGGGAGAAGGATAAAGCCGAGGACTGCGCGGCAAGGCTGCGCCCCGGGAGCGTCTGGAAGCGAGGGAGAAGGCCGGCCCGTGCGCGCCCTTACTTCCTGGTTCTCGCGCAAGTAGCGCAGCAGCTCCTCCGTGGCCCGCAAGCGGATCTCCTGGTCGGGCTTGGCGATGTCCCAGAAGAAGTCCAGGAACTGCCGGTTCTGCCCCAGGAGCCGCCCCGGGTGCGAGATCGCGGCCGGGACCGGCGCCTCCTCCTCGCCGCTGAGGGCTCCGGCCATGCTGGGGGAGCGCGGCGAGGACACACGTGGGGACGGCGCAGCCGGAACACGTGCAACTCCTCTTCCGGGTTAAGACCGCGAGGGGGCCGCTCCGCAGGCGGCGCAGGAAGTCCGCAGCGCCGCGCCTCGCCTGCCCCTCGTGGAAACGCGGGCCTGTGCAGGCGCCGCGCTCCTGGCACGGGCGACTCCGGCCCCAGCAGCCGCAGCCAGCGGGGTCAGCCCTCTGGGGAGGTGTAGTCCAGCGCGGGCGCCTTCCGCATGCGTTGGACCGCGCCTCCAGGAGCAGCCCGAGCCGAATCCGCTCTGCCCAGGACGATGCAGTTTGGCATGCGTCTGAAGCGCTGTGGCACAACAGGCGGCGTGCGAATGCCTGAAGTGCACGAACAACACGTAGCAAAGTCCTGCAAGGAGAAAGAGGGCGCGAGGAGGGTTTGGGATGCGGTCGGCACGGGTCGTCGAGCCGCCTCGGCCTCCGGAGCGCCCTGTCCGCGGCGCCTGCAAATCCCGGCCGGGCATCCGCGCCTGATGGCGCCCACCCGTCCCTTGCTCGGTCTCCTTTTCCATCGAAGGCCATGGTCTGCACGGGTGTTAAAGTTAAAGGTAACCTGTCCAGGAAAAGGCCTTTCTTTAAATGCCCACACACCTTCCTTCCGCCAGGTGATCTACAAGGCAGCTCAACGAAATTTGCCCCCAAGGAGAACACCACGTATGAACGGGCGGCATCTCTTCCAAGGCTTCCTCTGTTGGACAAGCTGCCTGTCCTAAGCCTGGGCTGTAATGGCTGCTTAGTTCGCATCCAGGCTCCATCTTTGTGAGTGGGCACTTGATTAGCACCTTATTTGGGGGCTCAGTCCATTGCTCCCCACTTTCCTGCTTTTAAATTCTTAAGGCACAATCCTTCAGTTTAAGCTGAAAAATACTAGAAACTCCCAGTATGTAACTTCTTAATTTACATTGAAACATATGCAAATATATTCAAATTGGTGGGGGGCACAATTCTGCAGTGGCCAGGTACACATTCTTACAGGTACTTTCTTCAGTCTTCCAGGAAGCCTTTTTTTGCAGCCTTCCAATCTGGGGAAAAAAATGGGCAGCTGTCCCCAAAAGTCCATATATTGAGAGCTAGGGTGGCGCAGTGGTTAAGATCGCGGGGCTGGAACTCAGGGGATCTGGTTTCTAGTCCCCACTCAGCCATGGCACCAACTTTGGGCCGGCCACAGACACTCAGCCCAACCTACCCTGCAGGGTTGTTGTTGCGAGGATAAGATTGAGAGCAGCAGGAGGAGAATGATGGAAGCCCATTTGAGGTAACAGCAGTGGAACTGATAATTGCAAAGAACTGGAAGGAGAAATGGAATCTTCAGTTAATCGAAAGGGATAATAAAGGTTGGACTAGAGCAGTTAATTAAAAGTTGATGTTTGAGGTTAAGGTGAAAAGGGGATGAAAAAGAAGACTGATTTTAAGACTGATTGGGTTTGTTTATTGAATATGTACTAAGAAAAGAGAACGGTATTAAACCTTAAGCTGATGCAGTGCAATTTTGGATGGGGGTATTCCTGAAAGAGCGGAAGATTGGAGCTATAAGCAAAGAAGAAGAAAGAAAGAAAGAAAGAAAGAAAGAAAGAAAGAAAGAAAGAAAGAAAGAGGGAAAATATACAGCCATGGTCCTGATTGAGGGGTGCACTAAGTGTGGTTGTGTGCAGGTTTTTTTGTATATCTTATTTATTTATGTACATTTTATATGCCACCAATAACTGCCAAAAGGCCTTCCTAGACAGCTTACAACAACATATTAGACATATTAAAACAACAGATTAAACATATGTATAAAACAGAATATTTAAAACCTATTAAAACAATTAAAAGATTAAAGCATCAATATAACAATATAAAAAGGCCACCAGCATTCACAGGGTTCAGTATTGATTTTTTTAAGTTTGTTGTTTTGATTCTTTTTATTGTATCATGCATTTTGTAACTGTAGTTTTAAAAAATTAAAAGTAAGCCCTTTTGAGTTCTTTGTAAAGAAAAACGATGGGATATACATCTAATAAAGTAATGACAATGGATAAATATTTTGACAGAGGATAGTCCCTTGTTCACTCCAACACTGCCTCCATCAAACAACAACCACCTGGCCAATTTTTCCACTCACATTTCCTCCATGGAAGCCCTCATATTAGACTAAAAAGTACAAGCAAGAAGTATTTTATGCAACGCAATTTAACACTGAGTAGCGCAAAACCAAGGCAGCAGGAAAGCGTGGGGAAGCCCTATTTGCCACTGAGGGCCACTGCTATTCCCTAGCGATCTTCTGGGCTTCCACCAGGGAATGGACGCCTGTAGCCATCATCTCTCTGACCCAGGCAGAAAACGATCAAAAGGCGTTTGGGTTCTGCTGCTTTGTGGAGGGAAACCAGTGGAGGCAGGTGACGAGGTCTGCTTGGCTGAGATGCAGGAAGCAGGGGTGGTTGAAAAGTGGCAGACTGTGGCCGGAGAGGATGAAGAAAGCTGGTCTCAAGGGTGAAAAACTCTAGCAGAAACTTTGTTTTGTTTGGGGCAAAAACTCAAGCAGAAATTCTCTTAAATGGCGGAGATCGAAGCTTCCCTTTCTTAGTCATCTAGCCTAAATCTTAAGGACATGAAAGCAAGACCCGCTGGATCACCAGGCACTGATCTGGTACAGCATTCTGTTCATGCAGTGCCCAGCTAGCAAAGTGCCTTTGATACTAAAGGTAGCACAGAAACATGAGGACCGGTAGCTTGTGTGTACACAGTGGCCTACCAGGTGACCATAGGAAGCCTACAAGCAAGACTTGAGTGCAATAGCACGCGCCTACCCGTTTTCTCCAGCAACTGGTATGTAGAGAGATGCTGTTTCTGGCATGGGAAGTGGCATGGAAACCTAAGCATTAGCACCCAGGGGATATGCTTCTCCTTTTGAAGTTGTCCAAGCTCCTTTGAAAGCTGCCCAAACTGGTGGGCATGCCTGCCTCTTGTAGCAATGAATTCCATAGCTTAATAATGCACAGAGTGAAGAATTCCCTCTCACAGCAAACTCGCGTGACAAGTGGCAACATAAACAGAGCAAAAGCACTGAAAATCCATCATACTCAGGGGTCCCTGAAGTTCACAGAAGTGCAAAGAAGAGTTAGGGGGAAAAACGGAGAGGGCACCCCCCACAACAACCCCATGAGACTTGGACATGGTCACCTGTCACAGCCATGCTGAGTGCCAGGTGCTGGGCACAGGAAAGACTGGCAATGAGGCCGGAATGGAGGGTTCTGGAAGAGAACGTGGCTGGCCGGCTGGCTGGCACCTGAACAGGGCACTTCCGGTAAAGGATGGACACGGAGTAACATGTCCCTCTTGCATTGTCTTATCTGCTGAACACTTGAGAAGCTTGTCAAACATTTGGTCTTCATTTTACTCTTCTGTGTTTGACTTTCCTTAGCATGATAGTCTTTCTCCTTCTCACAATGTGTCCAAGGTACAACAGCTTCAGTTTTGTCCTCTTTGCCTCTAAGAAAAGTTTGATTGGATCTAGCACCCTCTTGTCTTTCTGCGGGTCCAGGGGACCTCAAAGCTACCCCCCCCCCCAGCACCATGTTTCAGACGCACCCGTTTTCTTCCTGTCTGCTTTCTTCACTGTCCAGCCTTCACAGCCAGTCGTAGTGATGGGGAATAGTCATGTGGATGATCCTGGCCTTCGTCTCCCATGACATTTCCTCATACTTGACTATCTTTTCTGCTTCCATCATTGCTCCGCGATGAAGAAGTCTCAACCTTCTTCAAGTTTCTCAATCTTGAACTGGTGATTGAGCTAAGATATGCAAAACCTTTTACAATTCCAAATTCTTCATGGTTGGCATTCTTCTTTGGTCACGATTGTAGTTTTCTTAAAGATCACAAGTGCTCTAAGCAGAGACACCAGACATTATACCGCAGGCTGACTGCCTGCAAAGTCTGTGCACCCAAGCAGGCCTAGTCCGAAGGAGCGGGCATTTGATCTGTAAGTATCACCCTGTATTAGATGCCAGGGCTCAGTGGATCTTTCCACAGCTCCCTTTCAATAAATCCTGTGCAAGTTTGAGTTGAAAAATGCCCCACATTTCCAAGCTGCCCAAGTGAACTTGCTGATCCTTTTTCTCTGTCTCGTGAGGCATGTTAGGAGTCCTTGGTCTTTTTCCTGTCTGACCAAGAGCATGCTGGGAGTTGTCACCTTTCCCTGCCTAAACTTGCGTAGAACTTCACCTGTAAACTAGTTTTTACTCTAGTTGCATTTAATGGTGTCAACAATGGTACTGACTTGCTGGCATGATTTACTTTTTAATCATGATTTGCTTTTTAATTATGTCAGCAAGTCAGCCTGCAAGTTTCTATTCTTGGCTTTTCCAGTGTGGGCATGTTGGTTAAAATAGTGGTCTGGGGACCAGGGAGATCCAGGTTCTAGTCCCCACTTGGCCATGAAGATCCCGGGGTGCCTTAGGGCCAGTCACTCACTCTCAGCCTACCTACCTCACAGGGTGGTTGTTGGGAGGATAAAATGGAGGTATGGAAGCCATGTGAGCGTCTTCCAAAGAGGAGGAGGACAGGACAGGACTGCAATGTCATAATAGTAAAAAGAGGGGGAAGCAAAGCAGTGCCCCGAAGAAACACAGCGATATGCAAGAGCAAACATCTAATTTGCAGCAAATCCTAGAACAAAATGGATCCTTGTACACATGGACATGAGGGATTTTCCCCAGGTAATCAGAAAAGGAGACCACACCGCCTTCTTTTTTCCTTCCCTTTTAATTTCCTGCTCTCCCTGCCCCATTTTCCAAGCGAACTGGGGCGAAGCCTACCCCCTCGGCCCCGCATGTGCGCCCCCGGGCCTGCCCCTCCACGCCCCGCGCGGGCTGAACCATTTCCAGGGCAATCTCCCTTTCTGAACTGCCTCTTTCTTTTTCCCCAGGCCTTTCCAGGCAGGCGCCGCGGAGGACAGCCCCGCCGCCGCCCTCAGCGCGCAGGCGCAGAGCGCACGTCCGCGTCAGGCAGCGCGGCGGGCAGCCCCTCCGCTTGGCCCGCTATATAAGAGGCGCGGGGTCCTGCGGCGCCAGCTCGCGCTCGGGGAGGTAGAAGCGGCGGTGGCCGCGAGAGCAGCGATGGCGGAATTCGACGCGTACGACGACCGGGCCTACAGCAGCTTTGGCGGCGGCCGCGGGTGAGCGAGGCCGCGGCTGGCCGGGGCAGAAGACCGGCGGCCGCGCGGGGAGCGCGGCGTCCCCGCCCGTCCGCGGCGAGGGTCGGCGGAGGCCTCGGGCCTGCCTGGGGAGGGGTCGACGTGGGGCGGGGATTGTGATGCCGGGGGAGGGGTGCGGACCTGCCTGTGTGTGTGTGTGCGGAGGAAGGATTTGGCGCGGGTCGGTGGTCTCCGGGGAGTGAGTCGGAGTTTCTATGGGGCAGAAGGGCCCGTGGGGAGCAGTTGGGTCTTGAGGAGGGGGCTTGTAGTGGGAGGAAAGGGGGTGAGGTGGTCCTGGTGGTAGAAGAAAAACACTGGGAGGGGGGAGGCGAGGGCGTTGAGGTGAGAAGCGGGGTTTAAGCCGAACTTATGGGGGAGGAGAGGGGGCTTGTAATGCCAAGAACAAGGGGTACCTGCCCGAGTATGTGTGGGGAGGGGCAATCTGTGTTTTGACGGGGGGGTAGGTGGTCTCTGGGAAAGGGACATGGGGTTTCTTTCTGGTATAACTAAAGCAGGAGAATTCATAGGAAGGAAAGGGACTTGTGATGCCAAGAAGTGGGGGGGGGGTGTAAGTGATTAAGTAGCCTCTGGCAAGAGATGGGGTTTTTTGTTGGGTATAAACTAAGCTTAAGAGGCAAGAGAACTCATAGGAAGGAGATGGGCCTGTGAGGAAGGGATTTTGAAGCCATCGATAGGGGGCAGGGAGGTGGTGGTGGTGATAGAATCTGAGTTTTGATGTTGCCGAGCAGGAACTGTGCATTAAAAAGTAAAAGGAGTAGTTTGTGTGTGGTTAAGTAAATGAAACTATTGGGAGAAGGGGACTAGAAAACTGGGGTGGGTACATTGAGAAAGAGATAATGAATTAGAAGGCTTTATGTAAAATACATGATCAGAGGGGGTTATTTTTATTGCATTGCATTATATCCCTCTTTTTTCTTGTGAGGAACCCAAGGCAGATTGCATAGCTCTTTTTATCCTCACTGCAGGAGCCCTGTGAGGTAGGTTGGGGTGAGACAGGATGACTAGCTCAAAGTCACCCAATGAGCCTCATGGCTGAGTGGGAACTAGAACCTGGATCTGCCAGATCCCTAGTCCAGCACTCTTACCACCACACTGGCTATTGTATGTTTTGTGTATTTGGGGACTTTGATAAGGGAGGGTGTCTTACTCTTTGTCAATGTGGTGAGTGAAGAAAAAGTGGAGTGCTTGGTAAGGCACTCTTTTCTGAAACATAACTTTTGACTCTATTCTCAGTACTCTTCTGGGTGAAGAGGGGTGTGTGAGGGCCACTGGAGGAGGGCCAGTCTAGGAGTTGGTGTGGGCTGATGAAATAATTGAAGGATGCATTGGGGGCAAGGTAAGTAAATAAGGAATGGCCTCATAGTAAGGCTTGGGCGTGAAATCTTCTGTTACAAAGGGCTTAATGTGGAGCTTTATGGTAGGGTTTGACATTTTGGGAGAAAATGTGTGTGCAGGAGACAAAGTTGCCTGGGGTTCCAGTGTGCTTTGATGTGCTGGAGAAGTGCTGCTGCTTTTAGAAGGATCACTAGGAATCTACAAATAGGATACAGGATTTGCGCTCCAAATTGTCATGTAAAATGGGGAAGTACATGCAGTATGCATGAACCATTTGTATTCTGTAGAATAATCTGTAGAAGTTGATGGAAAATAGCCCACATAAGTATGGGAAAATAGGAATTCATAATGGGTAAGAACAGTATAGAGAAGGGAGCATTATGAAATCTAAGTGGAAGGTCTGTTCAAGGATAGGCTAGACATGCACATGGTGGGCATGTCATGAGTGGAGCCGGCTGAAGCCGGGAGGTCAGACTAGATGGCCCGGGAGACCCCTTCTGACTCGCTCTATGTTTCTTCCTTTGACTTCCTTCCTTCCTAAGTAGGAATTGGCAAATTGGATGGCTTATGTCCTCTGCTCCCTCTTTTTCTGCATCTCATTTAGTATTGTGTTTGTAACAAATCAAAACACATTGTCATAGCTTTGCACATCTGTGTACACCTGCTTGGGAGTTAATTTTTATTTATTTATTTTATTAAAACATTTTTATGCCATTGAGTACAATGGGAGTTCCTTTTGGACAGTGTACATAAGATTAGTTTGTGAAGATAACCAAAGTGCATGTGTAAGAGAAATGACTGGGCACAGTTACTGTGTGGGGTGGAGTGGAATGGCCTTCAGCATTCCTGGCGTAAGACCTAACTCCATTAAGCTGTTAGTGCTCAAAATAGTAAATGGTACAGTTTCTCAGTCACAAAAATTACTATAGAATTTCTGATAGTTGATAAAGTTAATTGAGAGATGTCTGTGGCTTTGCAGTGTGTAAATCTGTTGCCTGCACGATTCAAACTGGAACTTCTCAAGTTAGTTTGGGTAACCATTTATACTAATGACTGTTATTTTGCTTGCTAAAACCATATTAGTGTGGAGGAGGGAGGTCAGTAAGGAGTATGGTAAGAGTATATGCGTTTATAGTAAGATGTGTTTCAGCTTGGGCAATAATTGAAGAAGAGCTTAGTTTCTTTCTGTATTTATACTTCGGATTCTTCCTAACTTGCCCTTGATGTTGAACACTTATCAGTATAGGTTTAGACTTCGCATGTGCTCACCTTTGTAGTTTGCCATTGTGGAAACTAGTTGAAAAATAGTATGTCAGTGAAAGTAAGAAAAGCATCCAGTTAGTTCCTGACACATGCTATCTCAGTTGCTCTTGTAGCAACCTTGTTAGGTAGGTCAGTATTATCTTCATACTGCTTCAGAGAAAGTGTTCTGCTTTAAGCTCACTGTGAGTTCATGGCATTAGGGACTTGCGGATTGGTAATGCCTGGCAAACCAGTATACATCCATATAACCAGTGTGTGAAAACTGTCTGGTTTATCTTTACTGGTTTCAAGAAAGGAGGATGGTAAAGATATACTTTCTTTTTCTTGCCTATTTAGTTCCATTCTGCTTTCTATATCTTCACGGGGCTGTCCCTTCTTAGTCTGTCTACCTTACAGGGTATTTCTAATGACTGTAGTACTAGTGCAAGTGCTGCTCTTAGGGCAATGCAACTATGAAATAAAATTACTGAAACTATCAGTGTTCTCTGATATGCTTATCCTAATTATAATTGCTAATCACAGTGGCTCTCAAGCTTGAAAGAGTTGTGCTTAGCCTTTTCAAAGATAGGAAAATGCTATCAGCATGGGTTCTTACGTTATTACCTCTAAGGTGTTCCATATTCCTTAAGTTTCATTTCATTTTCTGTGAAATCCAAGTAAAGCTTATTTTTGCAAATCCAGTTTGAGCATTTCTCTAGCCCACTTAGAAAAGTAAGCAATAATAGCTTGTTCTGCAGCAAAATACATTTATTCTGTCACGACAGAGTAAATTTACAGCTGGACTGCAGCGGATATGAGGTCTATGAAAGAAGAACAGCCAAAAGAACCGCTCCCGCATCCGACTGCCCTTGCATAAAGTCTAACCAGACAGGGCATGTTTGTCACTCTGTGTGTAGAATTCACTTCTTAAGGAGCTCTGGTCTGTTAATTTAACTCTGTATTCTGTTGCTTTGCAATAATTGTAATGGATTTTGTTTATCTGACCCAGCTGGCACATAACCTATAGGTTCTTGAGACCCCATGAGAGAAAGCTAACACAGTGGCCCCTGCCTGCCCCCCACCCCCCTTATCTGGCTTAGGATACAATCTAGGAATTCCTTGTTATGTGTTACTTGCAAACCTGGAATCATGAATTACCAAGTGCAAAACAGTACAGAGTTTTAACAGATCAACAAACCATGGATTAAAATTCTGGATTAAAACATCTGTGTTTAAGCACTCATGACTGTCTATAAGAAAACAAATCAGAAAACAAATCAATTATTCACAAACCGGGTCTTTGTGTGCTTTTCCGATTGTAAACTAATTAATTCATACAGGGTATGTATCATTTTAAAAGTGCTTTTTAGTGACCCATTGAACTTTCGTATCGTAGATTGACATATCAGCTACCTCTGTGTTGATTTTTAAAAGTGGCTCGCTCTTAGAGAGCCAGGCTGAGGGTTGAGACCTTGATTTTACTCTCCGCCTCCTTCCTCAATGGCACCAAGTCCATAGCTGGCAACTGTGCATGTAGTAGAGAATTGAGGGTAGGTGCCTGAAAGGTGTTGTCATTGAGAAGCATCTCAACCATTTGCATTGAGGCTGACCTCTGCAGGTCTTGATCCAGGATCACTGAATTGCTTAGGACAGGTTGGAGTCATGTAGGGACTCCATGAGAGTTGGAGAGTGTCCTTTTGGAGCTGGTTCTGTTTCCACTTAACAGCTGTGAGCCTCCCAGGTGTGTCAAAGGCTCTTGTGCTGCAGCAGTGGTGACTTAGTTGTCCTTTCCAGGAAAAAAACCAACATATACTTGAAAATAATGCTGTTGTATAATTTCTGGAAGCCAGTGAAGATCAGAGGCAGGTGTGTGTGTGTAGAGGAGTTTTTAAGCTTTAGCAAAAGTAGGCACTGATTTGGGTACATGTCTCTTTCTGTTACTATAAACACTAATTTTTCCTGTGCATTGCCTCTTCATTTGTCATTTCTACTCTGGTGAGTCTGCTCTGACAGAATAGCTTCGTATGCAGGTGTTCATATGGGAAAATGACAGCTGGGATAGGTCTGTCTGTGGGAATATGTAGGGAGGGGACTCCCTGTGCAGGGCTGTCAGTCATGGTGTTGAAGTTGGCCCACCCGTCAGCTAGGTAAAATAACTCTTCTAAATATGTGCACCATCTATCATCCACTCACAGCCATCCAGTGCTCGGCTGCCAAAATCAGTCCATGCAACCACACGCCTAAAACCCCTTCACTGGCTTCCTGTCTGCTTGTGGATAGATTGTGGATAGCCTTCCTGAATATGAATGTCAAAGCCTCGAAGGCCTTGCTTCTCTTTTCTTTGCATTTGTATACCAACACATCCCTTCCTAGGATCTCCTCTC